CACGCCGGTATGCGTTGAGATATACCTGATTTTATACTTATATTCAAATAGCGTATAACAATTTGTTATATTTACGCAAACTCCGTACAATTTTATTTGACGTTATTTAACGGATTTTATCGCATTTGATTTCTTGTTTTGAATTGTATAACGTATTATGGAGAGGGAAACCCTGACAACTCTAGTGTCAATGGGAAAAAAACGCTTTTGTTTTGGCTAATTATTGGATCCGAAATAAACTCTAAATAACAAGTGTATTAATTAAATACACCAAAGAAAACAAGGTATAACACAAATATTTTGCAGAATTTATAGTCACAGGTCGGACAATTCCGTGTGTACAGAGAGTCGTCATATTCTTTTCACCTATTAACCTAAACCATGTTCGCATCCTAGGATTAAACTTGTAGTCACGCATACGATTAGAACCTAAATAAATATATGCACACAACGTAAATAAAGTAAAGGACATAATTTAAACAAGCAGCACCATAATTTTGTCACCTATCGGTCGTACAAGCGATTAACATACGAAGCGGCACATGTTGCTTTTTATCGGTTACGCAATTAGCCTGTCACTTTCGACGTCAATGCCTAATCGCTTTTGAAAATTCCACTAGACTAATGCGCAACGGTCATTAGATAAAACCAAACGGAGCGAGCAGCGTAGAACATTTATTTTATGCAACATAATAAAATTAAGGCAATGCGTTATATTGATTTTTGAAGATTTTCCGATATAAACTCATTTAAGAGGGAACAACAAAGTAGTCATTGCACTTGTAGTAACAATATCGAATGCATTGATATTTTGTTCGATGTGAAATTAAAAAAAAATAATATCAAATTTATCGATTTTATCTATTTGCGGGAAGATGAACAAATGGCAGTGATTATCGCAGCCTATGGACATCCATATAATCCGCCGCCACACACACCTGAAACTTTCATACACACACAACCTTCACCATACGGAGTAATTACAGCAGGCCGATGCAAGACTAAATGCGAAGTACTAATTTAAATAATTACTCTGACCCGGCTAAGAATCGAACACGATACCCGCGGTCCAATAGCTGTGATCTCCGTCCACTAGGCCACCCGGCCAACAACCCACCAACAAGGATCGCGTGACGCGCGATCTAGTGACAGCCGATATATAAACCACTGTAGCGTTAAATCCTAAAGATCAGGTTATTCCGGTTAAGTGATAACCGCCACCTATGAACACCTGCAACACCCGAGGGCTCACAAATGCGTTGCCCGCCTTTTAGAAAAGAGTATGCTCTCTTCTTGAAGGTTCCCAGGTCGTAACGGTTCGGAAAGACCGCCGGCGGCAGCTGATTCCACAGAGTGGTTGTGCGAGGCAAGAAATGCCTTGAAAATCGCGCTGTTGTGGAACGCTGGACATCGAGGTGGTGTGGATGAAATTTGAATATGAATATGGTTTGGCAGAATGTATGATGTAATTATATATATAGTGGTAATACTTGAAGGAATTTTATACTGCGTCAGATGAAGCTGCGTCAGATGAAGCTTTAATAGTCTCGGGACTGAAAGCAAAAACATCAGTTAATACAAGATACAGGAATTTTATCCTGTATCTTGTATTAACTAATATATTTTTTTGGTTGCGAGATACCTTTCGTCACGAGAAGAAACAACAGTTACTTTCACAGTTAATCCAATTAACGGACAGCGTCTTATCACGACTTGTTTTGCTCCCGTGGCGGCAAACATTGAGGCGATTTTTTTTATGCTATTTTCATTATATACCTAGAGATTTATAAATTAAATGTAGTTTCCTGGTAGCGCGGTGGCTGTAGCCGCACCGCTTATGCATGGCCAGGACCCTTATTCTGCTTCGTGATTTCGCAAACGTGATTTACAATTCACCTTACATTTCTATATATTATTTCTCAAAGGTTTTTTTTGTCGGTAGGCCATAACGTCTATATTTCTTCATCAAATTCGATTCAAACGCCATTTCAAATCTACGGTTGCTGCTATTGACGAGATATAAACAAGTAGAATATAGATGATATTTTATAAAAAAAAACTTCCTTTAAAGAATTTCTTATAATGAATATGTAATAAATGCCACATATTGAGAATTTGTTTAAATTAATGCTAGCATTAAAGTAGACTGAAACACAATTACTAAAAAAAAATATATACCTTTCATTCATTAATACTTATTTACACATTCAGTACTATTCGGTGCCTGATATCGGTATTGTGCAAAAATTTCGCACTGGTCAACTAATAAAATTATAATTGGCACAGAGACACCTCTCGGTCAAAATCTAGCAACTTCGACGCACGTCAATAATTAACATAGCGCCATCTAACGCTTTTTTAAGGCCCGATGTCAGCGACGGGCGGCAGTAGTTTAGCTACCAAGAATACCGTTTACATGGCTCGTTTGAAAAATTATAAACATTTGCATGCACCAGCGTCGTGCATCAGCTGTACCGTTAAAAATAATCCAGATAGACACAGATGCCTGGCGGCGCATGTAGGTCGGTCCTGGGGCGGGCGTATTGGAGTTACTGGGTTAATGTTCGTGTCAATACGGCGTTGGTCGCACGCCAGAGCCCCCGTTTTGATAGCCGGGCTTCATTACCACTATCGCAGGGAGAGCTCGAGATGACGTTATGGCGTGGCTGTTAAAGACCTGCGTTCGGTTTATCGTACTGAGGGCATTCGACGGTCGATTCTTAGTCCTTTTATGAAAACTTTAGTAAACCGCGTAAACCAGTAATTCATAAATTGATTGTATTATTTTTTTATTGGATTATTCGCTTGAATGATGTCAATGGCGGTTTCGATGTCAAGGTCGGAAGGCCTTGACTAATCTATCGGGACTTAATCTTAAAATGTCAATATTTTAAGGAGTGCATTAAAAGGAATTCATTCAGTATATTTATATTTAAAAGTCCGGCGGCGACCTAAGCGTCAAATTAATTTACGGCTTGGGGCGCCACCGAACCTAAGAACACTATCCTATTACTATTCAATATTGGACGGAGACGTTTTTATTCGCATTTGTTACAGGATTAATAGACAATATTAATTCAGAACTAGCAAAATCTACCAATTAGCAGCACTAAGGCGATTTGCACTAATGACAACACAATTTCCTCATTCCTCTTTAGAATACATAACTTTCTTTAGAAGCATCACCTTATACAAAATAATGTGGTCACCTCTGTCGTCTTTGCACGAGTTGATTAATGAGAAATACGTTAAATTTACCGTGTATTTAACTAGAATAGATAAATCATAACATTTTCTAAACTGCCAAATTTCTAGGCCGCTTATAAATTTATGATTTTTTATACTTCTTCAATAATTAAATTTTCGAAATATGACGTTCACTGGTATGCCAGTACAACAGTATAACAATATGTTGTTAATTGGCAAAACAAATAATCGATCATTCTAGCTTCTTCTTCTAACCTGATGTAGAAATGCTAAAATAAGTAACATTTAACTAATGTTACTTATTTTAACTTTTGTTAATAAAATAAATCTCTGGAATATTATGGCTTATCGTTAGTTAAACGAATAAAGCTTTACTCATTATAACATTTGTAAAAAATTCCTAATGGACATTTAAATTTTTATGGCATATACTATACACTATACACTTAAGATGGACCATTCTTTTTTAGAAAGAATGGACGAAAAGTTTTTCGCTTACGCGAGAATCGCACCCAAGTCTCAGACCCTTTATTGGTTAAAGTGTAAACCACTATGGTGTTAAGCTACTTTTGCAATGCAAAATACCGCTTCTAGATTTTCGTTAGAGGAAGCCCGTTTTACTCGCCATGCGGGTGTTTTGAAATAACAATATTTAGGCCCGGTGTTGAATCTGGACGTCATGATTTTTACATACGTTACAACAGCTGGCAACTCTTCGATGATTTATATGCGTCTTTGTGTGTCATCAAACATTTGCATTGTGTTGCTGTGGCTGTTTCTATTATGTAACGTTATTATGTCTCGCATGGATAATTGGATATCGCTAAATATAAATTCTGAGACAACTCGCAATCTAATGCGCCACCGCTCTTGTTTATCTGTTAGCAAATTAAATGTTTACAATTTATAATTTTAACAGACAAATAGGATTAGCTCATTGCTTCATGAACTTCAACATTATACGAATTATGTCCATGAAATAGCCGTTTGTTTAATTGGCATTTTGTACCGAGGTAAATAATGAATGTTTTAGGTACCTATATCAAATTGAGTTTTCGACTAAGATATTAACTGGCGAATGCGATTAAAATGAGAGCAATGAGTTTATTATTTCATAAAGTATTAATATAAGTGAAGAAGCTAATTAAAAGGAAAAATTGTAAATATTGCGTAGAAAAAAATCAAGTAGAAATAAATTCGCGTCTTTAAACTTACATTAAACGTGTACAGCGTCGGACACAGATAACGAAATGTTTAGTATTCATAGACTATGTTATCTGCGTGTCGCCGTTTACATTAGTTTGAATAAACAGCACGCGTAGGTAACCTAAGTGGTTGACTTCATAGTTGTTCCAAGATAAACGTATGTGGAAACTGAATACGACTATGCAATTTCTCTCGGCGCCTATTGAAAGTTGCGGAATAGCTGTACAGGCGTAAATACTGAATATTCCTACTTGGCAAGGACGTTTGTATAGACACCACCTCGGAAAATTTGTTTACGATTTCGATGTCTGAGTAAATATTTAAAACGATGAGATTAGTCCGATTTTACAATGAGTTCAAGGACCGACTGAAACTTTTTGTATAAAATCTTTGAATGCAATAATCGCTTTGAAATAGTGACCTTGGTTCACACACTGGTCAAATGCCTATTAATGCATTAAACTTTTCAGCTATTTTAAAACAGGAAGGATTGTAAGGCTCTAAACGTTGTTATAAATACTTATACTATTTGCGGATTACATCACTGTATTGGAAGCGATCGTCAAAATTACGCACGGGCGTCGTGAATGACGAACGGCCGTCAGTCAGTGAACGCGATATTCCGTCACTCCGACGACAACGACGCCAGCGTACTCCGTCGAACCGACGATAACGACGCCGCGTCTTTCGCAGCGGTGTCAGCACGGTGGTCCGCGCTGCGCGCAGCGGCGCTGCGCCGCGGCGGGGCGCGCCGGCTGCGTCGCGAGATCGCCGCTCTGAGGGAGACCCTCGACGATGTCTGCGAGCCGGGCGACTGCGCCCCCCAGCCCCACACCAGGGCCCAGCTCAACCGGAGAATCGACGAGCTGAAGGTATGTATATATGTTATAGACACTTCTTTCTCCTGCCTTTATCCAACCAAGATGGGGCCGGCATAGCACGTGAATCATGTTGTCTGCAAGTATGTTGTAGACACTTCTTTCTTCTGTCTTTGTCCAACCAAGATGGGGCCGGCATAACACGTGAATCATGTTGCCTGAAGGTATGTTGTAGACACTTCTTTCTTCTGCCTTTGTCCAACCAAGATGGGGCCGGCATAACACGTGAATCATGTTGCCTGAAGGTATGTTGTAGACACTTCCTTCTTCTGCCTTTGTCCAACCAAGATGGGGCCGGCATAACACGTGAATCATGTTGCCTGAAGGTATGTTGTAGACACTTCTTTCTTCTGCCTTTGTCCAACCAAGATGGGGCCGGCATAACACGTGAATTATGTTGCCTGAAGGTATGTTGTAGACACTTCTTTCTTCTGCCTTTGTCCAACCAAGATGGGGCCGGCATAACACGTGAATTATGTTGCCTGAAGGTATATTGTAGACACTTCTTTTTTCTGCCTTTATCCAACCGCGGTGGGGGATAACACTTGAATCATCCAAGATGGGGCCGGCATAACACGTGATTATGTTGCATGAAGGTATGTTGTAGACACTTCTTTCTTCTGCCTTTGTCCAACCAAGATGGGGCCGGCATAACACGTGAATCATGTTGCCTGAAGGTATGTTGTAGACACTTCTTTCTTCTGCCTTTGTCCAACCAAGATGGGGCCGGCATAACACGTGAATTATGTTGCCTGAAGGTATGTTGTAGACACTTCTTTCTTCTGCCTTTGTCCAACCAAGATGGGGCCGGCATAACACGTGAATTATGTTGCCTGAAGGTATATTGTAGACACTTCTTTCTTCTGCCTTTGTCCAACCAAGATGGGGCCGGCATAACACGTGAATCATGTTGCCTGAAGGTATGTTGTAGACACTTCTTTCTTCTGCCTTTGTCCAACCAAGATGGGGCCGGCATAACACGTGAATCATGTTGCCTGAAGGTATGTTGTAGACACTTCTTTCTTCTGCCTTTGTCCAACCAAGATGGGGCCGGCATAACACGTGAATCATGTTGCCTGAAGGTATGTTGTAGACACTTCTTTCTTCTGCCTTTGTCCAACCAAGATGGGGCCGGCATAACACGTGAATCACGTTGCCTGAAGGTATGTTGTAGACACTTCTTTCTTCTGCCTTTGTCCAACCAAGATGGGGCCGGCATAACACGTGAATCATGTTGCCTGAAGGTATGTTGTAGACACTTCTTTCTTCTGCCTTTGTCCAACCAAGATGGGGCCGGCACATAACACGTGAATTATGTTGCCTGAAGGTATGTTGTAGACACTTCTTTCTTCTGCCTTTGTCCAACCAAGATGGGGCCGGCATAACACGTGAATTATGTTGCCTGAAGGTATGTTGTAGACACTTCTTTCTTCTGCCTTTGTCCAACCAAGATGGGGCCGGCATAACACGTGAATCATGTTGCCTGAAGGTATGTTGTAGACACTTCTTTCTTCTGCCTTTGTCCAACCAAGATGGGGCCGGCATAACACGTGAATCATGTTGCCTGAAGGTATGTTGTAGACACTTCTTTCTTCTGCCTTTGTCCAACCAAGATGGGGCCGGCATAACACGTGAATTATGTTGCCTGAAGGTATGTTGTAGACACTTCTTTCTTCTGCCTTTGTCCAACCACGATGGGGCCGTCATAACACGTGAATTATGTTGCCTGAAGGTATGTTGTAGACACTTCTTTCTTCTGCCTTTGTCCAACCAAGATGGGGCCGGCATAACACGTGAATTATGTTGCCTGAAGGTATGTTGTAGACACTTCTTTCTTCTGCCTTTGTCCAACCAAGATGGGGCCGGCATAACACGTGAATTATGTTGCATGAAGGTATGTTGTAGACACTTCTTTCTTCTGCCTTTGTCCAACCAAGATGGGGCCGGCATAACACGTGAACCATGTTGCCTGAAGGTATGTTGTAGGCACTTCATGCTTCTGCCTCTGTCCAACCAAGATGGGGCCGGCATAACACGTGAATCATGTTGCCTGAATTTTCCGATTTCCACAGGAGCGTCTGTCGCGGCTGTTAGAGTGCAAGGTGTCTATGCTGAAGCTGACTGTGTCCGTTCGCCGAACCCTCGGCGAGCTTGGCTCCGATGACAACGGCCTAACAGACGACCTGACCAACCTGCTGGCCGCCTGGGACGACGCTCACCAGCGGTATGTGCCTAGATATATCTCCAGATTGTAAGCATCACGAAATCATTATCATGTTGGCACTCTGATCAATGAAATACGATTATTAAGTGAAACTATAGTAACAATTTACATAGTCCCTGGGAATTAATGCGGAAATGTCATCGGCAGATTTTTTTATGGTAAAAAGTGAGAAACGAGCAGGCATGCCTCCTTATTCATAGACATGTGCGTTTTCGATATTTTTCGTAACCGTTGCGAATAGCTGTTGCCAATGATATTATATTATTAAACATCATTGAGCTGTTGCTCAAATAGCAACCGTTACCGTGCATGGTTATCAAAAGCGATCAAACATTCAGATGAAATCAACACAGATTCGGAATAAGACAAATACACACGGTCGCCTTTATATGCCATTTACGATACCAGTGACGCATAGCTACTGACATTTGTTGAGAACGTTGCTATGGGATAACAACTTTGTCGGCATTACTGTATCCGTTTCCGATGACGTCCAATAATTTCAATCGCAAATTCACGTCGTTTGCCATTTGAAGCTCTTCAAATAAAATGCCATAGCTCATTATTTATATTCGTATTAACGTTACTTCATGTACATTAAGGGTTATAATAAATATTCTTGTCTCGAAGTTGAATTTCGGGCCGGTGGATTTTGCATATTCAGCGTTTTATTAAGATCTCAGCTCTTATGGCCCCCCCATATATGATTAATTTGTGTAGAATGGGTTAGTTAGTGCGACCTAGAAGATAGATTATATTGTAGTTTGATGAGGGGTAAGCCAAATTAAACAGAAAAGCTTCGAATTTGACTATGGTCTCGTTTGCAGAACGTCGAACGAACTGCTCTCGCTGGAGAAGGCGGTGTCCGCTTGGGCCGAATGGGAGGGCGCTCTGCGTGAGCTCCAGGGCGCTCTACGCGGCGACATGGCAACTCTTCAAGCCTTGAGGGACCGCGGCGGCGACGAGCCGGACGTCGCTAAGCAGATACGCCAACTCGCGGCGTCGCTGGTAGACAAGAAGAAGGTAGATACGCAACACGGCAACTACGATGTTGCTTTTGTATGTTATAGTTACCACTGAAGCTCATCAGTTTGTATGTTATAAGTTTGAATACAGAAAGTGTATTTAAACTTCCAGTTAACCTTTCAGAAAGTTAATTATTCTTCCAGTATATATATTTATATATACTGGAAGAATAATTAACTTTTGAAGTTTAGAACAGTACGAAGACAAAGAAACTGTATTATTTACCCTTTAACGTATTCATTTTTATTTATAACTCGGACAATGCTGAGAAGAAAATATGCAAAATATGACTTGAAAAAACCAACTACTGTTTACGCCTAAAACCCAACTGTTAGTTAATGTTAAAGTCAGCTTTACATTATGATATAAAGATGACTCTAAAATAGGCTCAGGACAGATACGGAGACCTAGTAATGATTGTTCCAGATCCGATTGTCTGTGCGTACTGAGTTCTACACGTTAAGTCATATAGTCTAATGAATATAATGCTTATACTAGATAACATATTCTAGTTCAAATGATTCAAAGTCAAAGTCAAAATTTCTATATTAAATATAGGCTTATTTTAAGCTCTTATTGAACGTCAATTAAACTACCTACTAAACTAGACCTGTCCGGAGAAGAACCGACAAGCAACTGCGATCTAGTTATCTTATAATTTTAATTATTTCAGGGTGGATCGACCTGCGACTCGCTTTCGGACTCAGGCATATCCGACGGCGACAGCGAGGCGGCGGGGGGGCGTGCGCGTCGCTTGGGCGCGCTCCGCGAACTGGCCCGTCGGCTGCAGGCCGCGCTCGCACCCAATTCTCCCGCGCACCGCGCCATCGCCAAAGTAATTTTTTTTTTCAAATTTGCCTAGCCCTCTGCTATGAGGCCTTCAGCCAGAAATACGAGGAATAATATAGAATTATAAATTTTAGATAACCCCCTGGTATGATAAATACTTAAATTATAGCTAAGAGCCATCTCGATCGCATAGTTTTTCAAACAAAAATCCCGCGCGATAATCGGTCCCCTCGTTTAGAAGCAATTATGCCACAAATGGACACAGATACTTATAACATCCTTCTTTTTACGACGGGGATTAAAAATAACTACCAGTGCGACGAAACCTTCCACCACAGATTTACAAATTTCTCGCAAATATATAACGTTCACATGCAACTTGAAGCATAGTTCGCCGTTGTTACAATGAAAGCCCATAGAAAATATTGCTATAGACACTATTGGCCATAGATATCACGTAGGATCCCAACCCCTATGATGCGTATATTTCTTGCCATCCGATTAGTGTTTTAATTAAATTACACTATTACCTTTTTTGTCTCACAGCGTATGGAACAAACTGAGAACGAGGTGAAAACTTTGCAAGAATCGTGTCGCGCTCTCGTGGAACAGAGTATACCCGATCTGAAAATTGACGATGACACGTAAGTTACTTTGTATCCAAATATTAAAACACTACACAAAAACTCTATGGAAATTTATTAACGTCAATAAAATCTACAGTTTGTTGAAAATAAAATTATTTAATTATGTTTAATCCCATATTAATTAAATAGTTAAGTGAGTTATAATTTATCATTAAAATATATTTATATAGGATAACTTTGGTAGCCATGATTGCACGATGAAATTAATAAGTCAAATGCAAACGTCTATTTTTCAGTGACAGTGTGAGTACAGTGGCCGGAAACAAAACCGGTGCGGGGGATCCCGATTACAGCCCACGAAGCGGTTGGGTGTGGCGCGTTATACGCTCCTCACTGCCCATACAACTTTGCCTCGTCGCTTTGCTCTTGGCCGCGTGGCTGGTGGAAAGGCCGCGCTGTTGCGACGCACTAAACTCGCTCGCCCAAACACTGACGCCTCAACTTCGTTACGTCCGCGGACCACCGCCCATGTGAATTGTGAACGCATCGCGACACTCTATGGTCGTAATTCGCCGCACCACTATCTGTGGTGGAGGAAGTTTGACAGTTTCATGTTCAGAAAAAACGCGGGAATGGAAAACGTCGAAAATGGCGAAATAACTAATAATGAATATTCTTTATGTAGAAATCTCCTTAGCGTTAAACTATAACCGTTCTAATTAGTTTAGTCGGAATGTTTTTGACGTCTCCCAATCGCCCGACCCGTTTCGTTCAATTGGTAGGTTGTGACTTCGATAATTTTATTGACAAAATACCGGAAAGATGGGTATTGTTTCAGATAACTTTTTATCTTAAAGTTGCCTGTAGCCCTGTACCGTACGGATTCGGTTGATTATTACCATTTTCTGTTTTGAATGGAATTCGGTTTTGGTAATATTCAGTCTAGTAAAGTAGTGTATTGTTTATTTTTTTTAAAGACACTACAAACAAAGCTATAACATTTAGCTATACGAGAAGGATTTGCATGAAGCAATAAAGATATAAGTATTCGTAACTGATGTATTTACTAGTTAGACAGAAAATATTTTAGTTAGAAATGTGACTAACATATATGGGAAAATGGATTTGTAATCTTTTACACTGTGTAAGATTTAAAAAAGGTAGAGTCTGTAGACCTGAGCACTTGGAATAAACTATTCAGTTCGAAAAACTGAAATGGAACAGTAAGGTTAGTACAATGGCAAGCATTAAAAAATTCTAGAAATATCAGAAAATTGCTCATGATACAAAAAAGTTCAAACAAATAGTGTTCTGTATAAGTCATCTGTATCAGATGAATTTCAAATAGGCTACTGTTTTAGAAATAATTTACTAATAAATTGACAGACTTAGTTTGTTTGTAAGCATGCCTATTTTAGTACAATTAATTATTAGATTAATTAATGTGTATGTGTAGGTGCGATCTTTGTGTGAAAGATATTTTCGATAATCTACTCGACTGCCATTCTTACAATTCTTTTTCTAATATGTTTCCTCAAAGAGGGATAAACATATACTGATTTCCTATTTAGACCATTTAAAATAAAATCATTTTGCTAAAAGCTACTCGAAGCCATACATAAATCATTCAATGATTATAAATTCTAATTATGTTCAAAGACTGATTTTACTCCATATTAAACTGAGGAGGGAAAGGAACATACATAACTTTATATTTCAATTATATTGTACAATAATTATATTGTATTTATATCTACTTATACATTGATTTTTGTAATGATGTTTTATATTGATTTTAATTATTACTACTATTTCAATAGTTAACTTTTTTATTATTTTTTGAATTTTTATTATTTCATGAAGGACTTAGGCTAATTTTTATTATGTTTATTATTTATTCTCTATATTATTAAAAGGAAAATTTATATGACAAATTTGTAAATTCTTTTTTAAAATCAATAGTAAAGGTGATTCTAATCCCATATAATTAAAATATACATTTTGTTATGCCCATATTCTGTACAGTTTTGATGTCTATATATCCTTTCTTCTAACAATTTATTGCTATTTAATATAAAATAATATATAAGTAAACATACACACATAATCATAGAGAACATTTATTGCACATATATTGATAAATACTGATTTGTTGTTATGTATTTTTCTACACTATTTAACATTTTAATGCCAATGTCCAAAGAAAGATTTCTTTTAAATCAATTTTTGTGCAAATATATTTAATACATTGATATAATTATTTCCAGTATATATTTATATGCAATACTTATTACCTATATTACACACCGTTGCTATATATTGTAAACTTTTATTTGAAGTGTGATTTACTTGTATTTATTTAATTCATGAAGTGAAGAATGAAGGCCAATTTTGAATGTGAAAGTATCAGGCATTATAAGACATCCTTTAAAGGAATTAAAATCTAATCAAAAAATAAAAAAATCTTTAAAATAAAGCATACATTACTATAAGATTGCTCTAATGAATGTTCTCTTATAGAAAAAAGGCTGCATATGGTAGTTGCTCACAAGATAGTAATTTAAAATATGCCATTTAAAACATAAAAATTATCCCTATAACATAATGTTCTGTTAATAAGCGCTGTAATATATATTTTATATTCCTGATATTGTATGAAAGTGCTCAATCTATTTTATGTTCTTATTTATACTTACTTACATACTTATTTGAAAGGAAATTATCACAGTTTTGTCTAATTTCAATTCAGAACATAATCCTTCTATATTATTTTTTTAAAATATTCTTTATAATTATTATCTGAGTAATATTTTACGAAATATTTTGTTTTTTTAGAGTAAAATAAGACAAATATATTTTATTTGACAAAATTATTATTCTTTATATTGATTCAAAAATACTTTCACAACTGCTCTGAAGAATTGGTAAGGAATGGTAATTAGTTAAACTGTTTGTTTGTGTATGGGCAATCTAGCTGAGCTTATTTTATTACGGAATATAGAGATAAGCCTTTTTCCTGTATCTATAGAAATTCAAAGATGCAATTATATTTTGAATTGAACTTGAACTTTCCAAGCCAAAAATGAATTTCGATATGTTTTAATGATGGACATTTTCAATTAATACTTATAAGTTGTTTAAATTTTAATGCAGGGAAAATGTCATAAGATACTTCTGTTACTACCTTTAAAGGCGCCTGATGCCTTTAGTGTGTCATATTTCTTCTAACGTTTAGTATTTTAGACTAGCTAAGGTAATACGAAAGAGTATGGACATGCTATGAGTGCATTTAAAATTTAATTTTTAACAAGAAAAAAAGCATAATAAACGAATATTGAAAAACATCATGTTGGATTGTGTAAATGGTAATAAACATTTGGTCTTTTAAAACATGTTTTTTTTATTTTTTAACACAATATTCCCGAAGTTCGTATTGACGTACTACTACTTGCGCATTTGAGCATGGATTGGACGTTGCGTAATTAAAGTTGACTTGATCCTAATTGTACCTTTTTTGGCTGTGCATTCAGTATATACAATGCAATATATCTAAACAACCAACTGAACAGAACTTTGGGCACGCTCTGATAGTGTAGAGTAAGTAATAGCCAACAATACAAAGAGGCATAAAGTAGTTCTAAAGCAAGACTTGTCAAAACTTAGGCCAAATTTTATCAGTTTCTGTTTCATTCCATACAACAAAAACTGAAAATATTTTTTCCTCACAAACTCAGTTTTAAAGAAAAACAATTGTTCATCAGAATGACGAGATCTTTAGACAGGTGTTTTTTTTTAATATCATTTTTAACAAAAAGTCCTATCTCCCACATATAGCAGATTCGACCCACTGCACCGGTTCACTAGACCTTTCCACTTTTTTATTATATGAGTTTACAAAATCATTTAAGTATAAAATCAGAAGCAGCCAGAGGACTTGCAGAGCAAGAGTCATTTCCACACACCTTTGACCTCAATGTATTCTTCGACATTATAAAAGGCCCTTTTCATTAAGATAGCTTTTACGAAATATTTGAAATTGTTACGGTCGTTACAACCGCGACAATAAATGAACGCTACTTGCCAATAAATAAAGAAATATAAAATGTTAAAGAAATCCATAATTAAAAAAATATATTTTTCAAACAAACTAATTAAATAAAAAAGAAAAAAAATTGTAACACCTATACAACTACAACTGACTGAATCATACATACAGAGACTTTTTCATTGGTTGCCAAAACGTCGCATTACAAGTCTCTCCATCTAACAGTATGTTTTATCTCTTCTAAATTCATTCAACCCATTCACATGTTTTGTGACCTTTACAAATGAACTTTACGTTACAGTTTTATACATAAGTGTTCTAAAAATGTTAGTTTTGTAAAATTTAATAACTGTAAATATTGATATTTAAAGAATGTAAATACTTAATACAATTTTAAAAAGTTACTCTCTATGTGTGTTCATTTATTGTCGGTCGCGATTGTAACACGCTGTATAAGTTAATACATCTGCCGAGAATCGATTTTCAAGTATGAGCCATTCTAAACCTAGGTATCTCCAGCGTGACACCACCGGCCCCGACGCGAATATTACCTGTAAATAGGAAGAACGATGGCATTTCTTATCTTTGAAACTTTAATAAGCCGAATTTTTTTCTGAATTCGCCCGAGTCAATATATATGGCACTGATACAAAGAATTTTCAACTGGAGGCATATTCTAACGTGCTATACGTGGGGATTATTTTTTTTTATTTTATTAGGAAAACTTACAGCAAATTGGGTACTTATTTTAAAACAAAATCAAAATCAAAAATATATTTATTCAAATAGACGCTTGCGCGCTCTTATGAATCGTCAAATTTTACATCAAAGATTATGTGTATAGGTTCGTAAGGTACCACCGGTTCGGAAAGCAGTTTCTGTTGAGAAGAGACCGGCAAGAAACTCAACAGTTGCTCTTTTTCAAAAGTATCAATTTACAATATAATAAACAGGTACAATAGTCTTATTCTAGCCTACGTGAGTATCAACAGTATCAACTCCACACATTGGCGTCTTCGAGATATTCCGAAATGGTATAATATGCTTAAATCATTAGTTGATTGAATATTGTAACATATATAAAGAGCGAATTACAAGTTTCCACCTTTAGTACATAATTATGCTTTAAGAAAAATCGAGCTAGTGATGAAAGAAAAAAATAAATAAAAAGCTTAGTACATAAATCAAATTCAATTTTAAGTAATTAGTTAACTACTTTTAGGAAAAATATTGCTCTGTTAAAGTTTCTTTAGCCACAGTTGGAGAAGTAAAAAATGGGTCGATATTTCGTGCATTAATAAATTTAGCAGTCCTAATCATATATATCAAATCTTTTCTGGATACCCTCAATACGAGTCTTGTAAATCTCATATTGTGGATTCCAGACGTGCGAGGCATATTCGAGTATAGGTCGTACAAATGAACAGTAAAGAATTTTTATCTTTTGAGATTACTAAAAACAGAACAGAACAGCGAATAATGAAACCCATAGATTTGTATGCTTTGGATATGATATAAGATATATGCTTGTCAAAGATGAGTTTTGAATCATGAATAACCCCTAGTACTACTTACCCGTACCCTATACTAGTACTTTAGAGTGCATAAAACACCTCTCTATGTCGTTCATGAAAATGCTAAAGAGCAGAGGTCGAAAATGCCGACATGTGTCCATTCAGTACAACTGCTTGTGACCTGTTGTCAATATATGAGGCGAACCAACGTAGTATTCCATCTCCATGTATTCCTGCTATTGCCAATTTATTCAAAACTATTTGATGATCTATTCGGTCAAAGCATTTACTGTAGTCCGTGTAAATTCAATGTACTTGGAACCCACTGTCCATACCCTCAGTTAAGTATTTATTCGAAAGTAGTAAATTTGTAACAGTCGACTTGTTTTTTAGAAATCCATGTTGAGCATCACGTAATATGGGGGAAATAGAGCTGTAAACCTGTTTATGTATTATTTTTTTCAATACTTTAGTAAACAGACATAGTTTTGAGATAGGTCTATAATTATCTATTTTCGTATTGTCCCCTTTTTTATGCACAGGTGTGATGTATGCCTGTTTCCAAATTTTGGGCACAATGCCTGAAAGTTTGGCAGCGCAACTAACTATGAAGTGAGGCGGTATTAGATCAGGCCCACCTGATTTATTAAGATGTAATAACTTAAGTAACCTACAAATTTTGTCTTTATTGAGGTATATGGTCTGAAGATTAACCGAAGAGAAAGTTGAATGAAAGTATTTTGCGAATGAATCACTAATTTGTTGACCATTCTCAGCTGTTTCATTATGAAGTTTTTAATGTCAGAAGGTGGTAAAAGAGTTTGCGGTTCACCAGATGTTAAGTGATGACCGCCGCCAGCGGACATTTGCAACACCCATATCGCATATGCGTTTTCCCTTTTTAATTAAGTTGGCCCCGGTTACCTCACTCACCAGATGAAACGCATAAGTATAATGCTCCTAGTTCACGGTGCTCTTCTGTTGCGATTGTATGATTAAATTGCTATGTGCAACCAAAACTGGCACACAATCAAACTAGAGACGCAAGCAATGTATAAAACTGGTACCGGGGCAAGTTCTTAATTATTTGAAGGTTCGCCATTTCGAATATCAAGCATTCCGAGGAAATAGAGAAATTAAATATAAGATCCTCAGTACCTCCGGGAGCCTTTTGAGTAGATGGTCTTCTTCTTCTTCTTTGCGTGTCGATGACAAATTAGATTTTTCCGGCCCAGAACTTGGCCACTTCGACTGCACAGTTCGTGGCGTCCATCAAATCCTGCTGCGAACAGGTGGAAGGGCAGGCAGGACAGGACACCAGATGAGCCATGGATTGCACCCCTCCACACACACAATCTATGTCTTGGCTCCCCGAGAGTCCCCACCTAACCATATTTTCTTTGCTCCGGCCAACCTGAGTCCGAAGTCTATTTAAAGACTTCCAGATTGGCCATGGCAATCTGTGCCCAGGCGGAAGACTCTCGGAAAGCGGGACAAAGGGGCTGCGGAATCAGCGTTTCAGCACGCCACAATCTACATCTCGCTTGAGAGAGCTCGGTTGTGAGGGGGTCGACGTATTTTAAAAAACTTTTTCGGCTTTTCAGTCTTTGCGGTGGAGGCTCGTGCCCGTGTAAGGGGTGCCGCATGTCTTCTTCACCCTTAGCCCTCTCTCGCGAGCTCGCAACGGCTCTGCGTACAGCCGGCGGTGCTATTCCAGCTAGCGGATACAGCAATTTGACCGGAGTAGATGGTGCCGTGTGGTCAACCCTGTCGTGAGATCAGATCCCTTCTTTTAAAATTACCCTCGCGCACTTGTTACTGTTTTGGCGGCTCTTTTACAATGCACGCGGTGCGTCTTTAGAATTCGTAACCTCACAATGTCCGCGCCAGTCCCTCATCGGATGTCTTCAAGAATAGAGCTAAGGAATTCTATTTATCCGCATAACGTGTTTTCTTCGGGTATATATATGTCTTGTTATTATCTTCTATCTTTATTTACTATATATTATATATTTGTTATGTATATGTATTCATAGATATGTAGGGTATGTTATAGCATAGGAACATCTGTGTGCACTGAACACATTTCCAGCTAGCTTCGATCACCAATTTTCTTACCAGGTTATCTGGCAGAGAACTTATGCAATGAGTTAAGCTTACCTTTTGTACACTATTTTCATTTTTCATTATTTATTAGTATTTTTTTTTGTGGAAATATTAAAAAAAAAGAGATTGATCACATTTTCCGCACCTTTTTTAAAATGAAGCATCTTGTCAGGCCCACATCCTTTATTAGAATCAAGTTTTTTAATAGATTTAGGCATATATATTATTTAGCTTGAATATATTATATATATTTTATCTGAAAATTTAGAAAACATGGCAACTTTTTATAATGATGTAGCTGCTGCACACGATAGCTAGATATAAATGAGAATAAATTATAATATTCTAACCAGCTTTTTTATTTGCCTGAAGAAAGAAGTCTACAAAATGTTATTGTATTTTGATACTTGAAATAAAAACACTGCAGTCTAACAGGAGCAAAATCAAACCATTTCATTATTAATTAGTTCATTAATAAACATATTAAATTAAAGTTTTGTAACAGAATCTTAAATCATAATATTGTTCAGAAATTACGCTTTATATTTTAATCTGGATTTCCGAGGACACGAGCTTATTTAATAATGTTTAGTCTCGTAAATACATATGAGCATGAAACAATTACATATGAGCATTTTTAATGAGAATGGTAAAAAGCACAACTGTCTTTATATAAAATCAATTAAAAAAGAATAAATAAAAAGGAATTTTAATCTTATAAAAATATTGATCTCCTTATTTTATTATCGATAATTCGAACTATGTTTACGTTTGTTGCCAAGTTGCCAGTGCAACTCAACTTGTTTCAGACTTGCCAACTTAGCGCTTATAGCCAAAATACTAGAGGAAATGTGGTCATATTGGGCTTATTCTTTTAAGGTTCAAAAAAGTTTAGGGCCATGAATAATATTTCATGCATCACTATTTCGATTGACCAAAATGAGTAAAAAAAATATGTTATTAATGAAATCTTAGTTACTACTATGTTTTGTTAATTATTTTAACAATTGGTAATGAAAAGTCATAAAAAGTAAGTTATATTTTATTTAGCTTAATAAAACGTAAAAATCATTTAAACAATATGTTACTGTAATGTGTTCATTACAGGGCTTTTTACGGCTTTTGAAAATTCCATTTTGAGATATTAATAGGGTATTTCATCTTGATTTTAGGTCCATTTATTTTTGTAGTTGGTATTGGTAACACTGAATTGTTTCCATTTCCGGATACGCGGTTGTGGCTTGTTGTACGCACGTGTTCGACTTCGGTAAAAATTACTTGGAGCTTTTAATTTTCTGGAATTACTTTAAATTAATTACCTTTATAAAGAATATTGTGGCTTGATCACTTCTGTTATAAGTTAATAAAGTGGTGGGTATAACTTTTATTGTATTAATTGTGCTATATGAAGCCGCCATATTGTTGTGTTAATTTTATGTGTAAAACATGTTATATGTATGGCACATAACTGTGGTATATTGTTTAACAAATACAATTGCTTATTTCTTTATTTACAAGAACATTTTGTCAAGTTTGTTTATCAACATTCCTAAATTGTAGTAGGTAAACTAATTGTAGTTATAGCGGGGTTAGGTTCTTGCCGCCATTACTATATACACGTTTATCTGCGCAATTATCTCAAATTTAAAAATCTAAGTGCCAAACCGTGTGAGTATTATTTATAAATTACAAATATGTTTATATTTGATGATCCTATCATTTTTCTATTGATTTAATTTTAAGAATTGTCTAAGTTTCGGAAGTGTTACTATCAATGAGAACTACACTTATTATATAATTTATTATCCGTGTAAAAGTATAATGAAAGTTAACAATGCTAATAAATTAACCTTTAGTTTCAACTTTCTGCCTTATTTGTTTCGGTCGTGAGTTATTATCTAGATAATATTCGTTATCAATATCTAGAAAAAATGGCACGCCATTTTGTTTACGATTTTGTTGCTTCAGCACGAGGCGATACGATAAAAATATTATGCGCCTTACATGTGTTATGTACTAGATACCGTATCGAATACGATATACGAGTTTTTAATCAACCATATTTTGTTAAAGAAAATGGTGGGCTCACGTGTGTACGTCGGTGGGCTGCCATTCGGTGTAAGAGACAGAGATCTTGAGAAATTCTTCAAAGGTTTCGGCCGAATTAGAGACATACTGATTAAAAATGGATATGGCTTTGTGGTAAGTGCAATCGGCATTTTAAAAAAAATTAAATTGTTTTTAAATTAGGAACCTCACTGCCCTCGTGGACCTGGCATTGATCGGGAGTAAAATTCTCTTACACGCGATATTTTTTTTAATTTTGAGTATGTTGTATGTGGAGTTTTTAATTCTGGTTTTGGATGATTGAATCATCATTAGGTTATTCTTCCGATTTCTTAAAAGAAAAAGTATTGGAGAATAGAATAGGAGCAGTTGCTAAGCTATTGGCTTCGGCCTAAGGGGTTCAATTCGCACACCGTAAAATGTTTATGTGGCCCATAATTTTTCCTGATATGGGTGTTAATTTTGTTTCCCAAGGAGGGTTGATGTCAGGTAGCTGTTTGTCAAATCCTAGCCAATACCATTTAACAACATGATTGACATGTTTTGGCAAATCCGAGAATGGTGGTACAAGTGCAGGAGATATAAGAAGATACCTTACATTATTTTTTATAAGGTATACCTGTTTGGCTTAATTAATGAAATTAATAAGATTTTATTATAGTAAATACTGGGGGCCTTCTATACCGTGGGCTTTATATATTGTAATTTAACATGTGCCAATAGGTGTTGAATATCTGTTTATGTTAAACATGAATCTTTTCACTTAGTCACTTATTTTCCTTGTTACTTTTAGGAATTTGAAGATTATAGAGATGCAGATGATGCAGTGTATGAGTTAAATGGGAAAGAGTTGCTCGGTGAAAGGTAAGCTACAAAATTTTGCTATTGCTATATTTTCCAAAATTTACTTACTGACAGGCAAAGGTCTCCAATACAGATGATATCATGCATAGTTCACCACTTTTTGGGTTGGAAGGCTCTACATATCTGCAGAATTTTTTTATTAATTTAAATATGCAGCGGATAAGCATGTACTAATTTAGCCCTTAAAATTGAAATTAAGAAAAGTTTATATATATTCTAAGTTCAATTTTCAAGATCCTATTTCTATAGGGATAGATACAGGGGTATCTTCCGATCTTCTTTAGTAAAATTAGTTATTTTTCTTGTTAAAAACCTGATCTAACATTAGTTGTTTATTTTATTGCTGTATAGTTTTAAAGCTATATTTGAAACAGGGTGGTGGTTGAACCGGCGCGTGGCATCGACCGCAGTGCTGACCGGTACAGGCGAGACCGCTACTATGAACGGGACCGCGGGAGATCTCGATATGAGTGAGTGACCTACCTGCTTCATAGGCTGTTACTGGAGCTGCAACTATTAACACTTCGTCACTTATGGCCAGTTTCAATATTCTATCTACAGATAGATTTGGTTGCTGGAGATTAAGTATTATGGAGCTAATGAAAAATATCGTTTCTCTAGTAACCAAATCTTTCTGCAGATAGAGTATTGAAACCGGCCGTTGATTGACCAAATGAGTTACTGCAAAGAGGATTTTGTTAGAAGTCAACAATCTCCCAATGGGAAGCTCCCATCTTTTTTATATAGTGGCAAAATGTTATAAATGTCATGTAACAGCTTACACTCTGAGCATATTAAATAATACTGATAATTATTGGCCAGGACACACACAAATTAAAATTTTAGCTTTATTTTGTTATACATTTATTATGTTCAATTCTATATTCATTTACTCCAAATTAGGTATGTTGCAAGTCATACTTTCAATAAGAGTATTGTTTTAGAATCGTGCCATGTTTTTGTATATGTTAATAACATCATTTTAAATTTTTTTTCCCACTTATGTTAAATACCCAAATGAAAATAGCTTGCAAGGAATATATAATATATTTATATAGTTATTGTTATTTCAGTAACATGTAAGTACAAAATCCATGCTTAGATGGTTCTCAATATTGTTTCTTTACAATAGTAATACACATCTAATAATCAAAACTATGAAGGATATATTCTATCTAATAAATGATTTATACATTTGATGTATATGTCAAATATTAGTGTCTCCTTATACTTGTATATGTAAACCAAGTGGTAAAAATTTTGCTCCCTGTATGACATAATGTTTTTGTGTTTGCAGTGACTACAATTATAGATACGGACCTCCGACGCGCACCGAGTATCGACTTATCGTTGAAAATCTGTCTAGCCGCATTAGCTGGCAGGTAAGAGACTGAGCGGAGACTCACTGGGTCCATCATCATTCCATCAACACTCACTCAGGGACTGATGAGCTTCGCGATCAATAGAGGGCTGGGCGGACCTGGTACCATCACACTGGCCTATTCACACGCGCTATCGGATATCGGACATCGGACGGACCTTGCAGAACATGGCAACCATGACGAGAGGGCGGACGGAAAATATCGATACGGGCAGCGGCAAATCTGGCAGATGGGGCACACACAATGGCAAGGACTTTATCAAGGAGGAGAAGAGATTAATCTTCAACAAAGACGAAATTGATATCTATTTGAAGGCAAACAATAATTAGATGAGGAAACAATGAATGTAGACAGAAGGACCTTGAATGGAGGGACGATGACTCGGACGGGCAGCTACCGTGAGAGAACGAGACGCCGATTTCACACAATACGAGAATAAATTCAATTTAAAGCAGTTAAAATTAACAAATTGTAGGCTTCTTAACATTGTAAGTTAGTTTAATAGCCAATGCTAAGAATTCATATACAAAATAATGTTGTAATGCAAACTTGCAAGCTTATAGATGGTTTTTAAAAACGACAGAAGATGGCGTTTCGTGCCCTGAGCCTCCGATGTAGCGCAGTGTGATGTGGTCTGTGGCGATATTAGGAGGGTTTCGTCGCCGCCGCCGCCGTCGAGCTGACAACGAACAAGGTAATGTCGGGGGGCACAACAGGCCCTGATTGAGGATCTCCTAGTTATGTGCATTCCTCCCAATTTCTATTTCATTTAATCGTAACCCCCCTTATATACAAGACACTTTTATTCGAATGCCTTTATCTGGCGCCACTACCGTGGTGTTATCGTTATCACATTCGATTTTTTTTTCTGTTCATCATTTGTTTAATTCTGTGCTCGGACAACGTTTCGTGTCTGTTCGTGATTACATTGGTGTCGTTGCTCACGAAGACCAAGATGGCTGACCCTCTGTAAGGACTCGCGGAATTACAACAGCATGTGCAGACAAAACTGGAAAACTGAGATGCCCATCCATTGAGAGATCCCATTGATGGCGGAGACGATGAAGAACTGGAACTTTCATGGAATGTGTTGGACTGACAAATTCACCGTAAGGCGAGAAAAGAGAGTGTCCAAAGGAATGCAGACAAAAAGCAAAGAAGCCAAATTGGATTGAGGATGTCTGGACTATGTTTTGCGGAAGTCACACAGATGGATTGACTATTTGGGACAATAGATTTTCAACCGCATTGGAAGTAAAAAGGAATAGCAGTGGTAAATGGAAGGAAACCAATGTTTTGACATAGATGAGAGAGAAATAAGAAACTTTGTTTGCCCTCCTTGTGAAGATTATGTACCTGAATAACCAATAAGCAATGATAACCAATGATTAATCACTCATGAAACGTTTGTACCGACACTGTTTTCTTTTTTAATCTCATGGTTCATCAGGTCCTATCCTTGATTCAGATTATTCATTCAATCATCCACTCATATTGTTAGGCTTTAATAATAATAGCTCAAATTATTTTACAGTCTCAATGATGATATCGCAATTTTGACCATCTTTCGGGGCTGAAAGCCTTGATGATAATTTTTTAATCTGATGGAGATTTTAGTTAATTTGTTTTAATCTTTTTGATTCTATGAGAAAAGCTGGATTAATGACATTAACATTTGGTTTGCAGGACTTGAAGGATTACATGCGTCAAGCTGGTGAAGTGACTTATGCTGATGCTCACAAACAACATAGAAGTGAAGGGTAAGTTCTTTTAAACATAGTTAAAAAAAAAAAACTTGTATTTTCCCTTTGGATGTAACTTAGTAATATACTGAAATAAAATTTAGATACTGATAGAGTTGTACATTGTCACTGTTACAGTGCCACCTATCATCTACAGGATGCAACATGTCAATAATCTTCCATAAATACTTTCGCTGTCTACCTGCGATTTTTATATTATTATTTTCTCTGTTTAACGTCTTTCACTACACTATGTCCTGTTCTGTTCCATTTCTTACTTGGTATAATACACAGATTCTAATCAGTCACGATTTTACTAAATTATTTCAAAGCCTACAAAATCCATTTCATTAATTCTCTAAAGAATTAACATTTACTTTTTATAATTGAATTACTTGAACGAATTGTTTGAATAAATTGCTTAAATGTTTTTAGAACAACTATGAATGACCTATATGTTGCTCTGAGAGTTGGGGAAAAACTGAGCCTTTAATTAAGCTAATGAGCATATTAAATGAATGTGGAGGAGGCAAGAGATTTAAACACAGATTTCTGATTATTATATATTATATAACATAAAGATACTTAAACATTTAATTTGTAAATAAATATTATAGATGTATAAACAGTGACTGGGTCATTAGATAATCATTATGCTCATCGAGCGATACTTGAACTACTTATCAAACCCACACCCTCTAACACCAGAGACATGTTCACTATCCCCGCTCACTTCTCTGAGTGAGACGTCTCATTTATGTATGTATAAGTGAGAACATTATCGTCATCATGTGATGATTACCAAAAGTGGGTATTAAACCCACACCCTTTAGCGCAATGGCTACTACCACTATCGCCTACTTCGCTGAGTGACACGTGTCAGCTTTTAAGTGCCGTATAATAAGTGATGCTTTCATGTATGTGTATGATAACTCCGTGATACAGTTGCCAAGGTATTGGGCTTCGGCGTCGGGGGTAGTGGGTTTGATTCCTACACGGGACAACATTTGTGCGACCCACAGATAGTTGTTTCGCATCTGGGAGTTGTTCGTGCATTCTATGTTTGTAAAACGTCCTTAAAACACAGGATAATGTTATCCTGAAGTGAGGGCAATGTTTTTAAAAAGAAAACCGGCCGCAGGGTGGTGGAGTTCGCGACGCACTCCGACATGCGCGCGGCGATCGAGAAGCTGGACGGCACGGAGCTGAACGGGCGCCGCATCCGGCTGGTGGAGGACCGGCGCTCCTCGCGGCGCCGCACGCGCTCCTCCTCGAGCCGCTCGCGCAGCCGCTCCAGGGACAGGCGCCGCTCGCGCTCCAGGTATATCGGCGAGCGCGACGAAACGACACGACACGACACGACACGACACGACACGAATGCCACACGACAATGTACATTACGCGAACTCAACGCTCACAACGCTGTATAAATACACATACACACACACAAACACTAATGCGACAATTTGCGTTAATTGAACGCTCACATCGGTGCATAATTAAACACATACGAATGTGACACGACAATTATATGTAACACTCTCATAGCACCGTATAAATACATACACGCACATAGACTCCCACACACGAAGATACATTTAGTGTGCTGCTCCGGCGAAAGGCAGAGTAAAGGACGAGGCGCTAGGTAATTTCATGAAATTATATCATGGTTACAGATATGACACGGACATAACATAAAATGTTGAATATGGAACATACATAAAACATAGACACTAACATCTAAACTCGGATAAACTTTTTATGAAGTAAACAAAAACTGATTTCTTCTGACAATGCTTTATCAAATCAAATACATGTTTGAAATTTTTAACAATTTACTTATACAATACAAAAAAAAACAATCACTGAGATGTGAAGTAGCAAAATTATACGTGCATTACTAAACAACGTACTCCGCCTGTTTTTCTAATTTTAATTTTAAATTGGTGATACAATATAACACAGCTATATGATGATACTACATTTTTACCATCTTTCGGGGCTGAAGTCTTTTGATCGATAACCTTCTAACTGAGGCTTATTTATTAATTGCCACACGAAATGTTGTCCGCACAGCATTTGCTGATCGATTGAGCGATATTCACAGGTCACGTTCTCGCCGCTCTTCGCGAAGCCGTTCCCGCTCCAAGTCGCGACCGAAGAGCAAGAGCCCAGTCGCCAAATCCCGTTCCAGATCCCGCACAAAGTGAGTTTTGGCTCCTTACAATTAGAGATTTTAGAGCGTAGCACTTCTATGTTAGTGCTGTTCAATGGCTACACGTACTTGCTACCCATGGCACACTAAAAAGTCTACAAATGTTAATTATTTCCATTTAAGAGGTTCAGCTTGCATGCATCTATCTCTTACTATCAACAATTCCGATATATCTGCATAAACAGTGTTACTGTATACTGCATGATTTAAATAATAACCTAGTATTCATTTGGCTAGGTGTGTTATTTCATGCGCTGAGCAAAACTTAAAGACGTAAGTACACGACAGTCTATTTGAATGTGTGTATTGTGTAGATTTGGATCTATGATTTATTGTATGTTAGAAATACATCTTATCTTCTGTGAGACAAATCAACTTGCTATCTTTTATTTTATATGTAGTTGTAATGGATATTTTATGTGTATCTCGAGTCAAAACTATTTGAAGTTTATATTTTTATAAACGAGATTTCCATGGATAATTATTTCAATCATCAGTTATCAAGTTTGTTGGATTAAATGTGACATTATGGAAAAATCTTCATTAAAGATACTAAAAGTATGTACATTCAATTCAGATCATACAACATTGATGAACAAATTTGCATCCGTTTGGGTGCTTTAACACACCTCCGCAATTACACACCCAAACGAAGGTGACGTAAATCTCAATTCACACTTTGCATTGTCCATGTAAAACGCATAGTTTTGGCTAAGACGGGGGGGTGACCGTAGCGATGGACCGTGTTAACTGCTGGCTTGTTCCGTACCGGGTGCAGAGAGCGCAGCCGCTCCAAGTCCGCGTCCAGGTCGCCGTCGCGTAAGTCTGAGCGCGAGCGCTCGCCCGCCCCCTCCAACAAGTCTGCGGACCGCAACGGCCGTTCCGCTTCACGCTCGCGCTCGCGCTCCCGCTCCCGCTCCCGCTCGCGCTCCCGCTCACGCTCGCGCTCGCCCTCGGCCGCGCCGAACCCCAAGTAAGTACGGACGCTGTGCTCTCAACGGACGCGCGGCGGGTTTGCTTGCAACGCGCGCGAGATTGTCTCTCTCACACTTACAGATCCTCTACGTCTAAAAGAGGCTGTACTAAAGAGTCTGCTGGAAAGAGACGTTACGTTCAGTTTTTTAGCGCCTTGCGGTATGTGTTGGTCTAGTGGAGAAACAATCTCACCCGCACATCATCCGCAAGCATTCCCGTCGGCAATCGAAGAGAAACTGTAAATGATCATTGGCATACATACATCTTTCAACATCTGATAAAATTTTGCAAAGCGACTGCTTAAATGATTGACAGCACAAATATTTTTTTAATTAACTTGATTCGTCCATATTTTCCTGCGGTCACTAGTGAGAAAGCAGTGGGGAAAAGGTGAGCGTTAGTTTAAAATTTAGAGAATGTAGCATTTTCCTTCACATTAGCATAAATTTTCTTTGTGTAGATTCTGAATTATTTTCGCTGATATCTTTCTCTTAGCTATTTTCCGTAGTACATTTAGTTTGCTAGCAAAGTAATGCTTTAGTAAAATTTTCTAATGCTACTAATTTTGCTAATAATTTTGCCTTTTACAAACGTGCTTACTTTCACAGCTTGCCGTTATTGCCTGTTGTTGTTGTATTGTTGTCACATTTGCAAAGGAGACAAAAAGTTTTTTTTAAATATTTCAGATCACAATTAGAAATGTGAACTATTATTTAGTATTATGTGAACTATTATTATAAGATACACGAATAACGTTTGAGCTGTTGTTGAATTCCGTATGAAATTTATTTATTCTGAAAAAAAAAAGACGGATATTTACAATAGAATTTCGAGATTTTCACATTTTAATTAAAACCAATATTCCTATAAAAAGCGACAAGGCAACGATTATTTCTTGTTAATAATTACTTTGTGTCATTTAATAAAGCATGTTCTTTTTTAATAAGTTAATAATGCAGTGTGAAGTGCACGTGTGGAAATGGGTGAATCTTGGCACTTTCGGGAAAAATATTTAAAAAATTATTAAAGAACTTTTTTGGAATTTTAATACATCTTTATTTTTCTTATTAGGAACTTTCGACTTTTGTAAAAAACACGTTCTAGTATTGAGCATTACCGAAAAATTAAGACTTTTTTTAAACCATTTTATATCTCTGTATACTTCGCAATTAGCTTATAAAAAGTAACAAAACAATATGTTCTATGAACGATTAAAACAAAGGCACCTGAGAGTGCTGTTTATTTTCCTTTGTATTTGTTCTGTAAGGTTGCATCTATAGTTAGTTCATACCAGCAAAAGAGTTCAGGACACATTTTTATTTTCCTCGTTGATCCTCTGAAGCAATGACAAAATTGAAAAATATAAGTGATGTAATGATACTTGTTGATTTTTTTTAATACTGTAGACCTAATCCTTGCCGTTATTAATTCATAATTGCTAACCACGTCATAACATTTTCATGATACTAAAGGCTGGCGTTGTTTGCCGCTCGTTATATCCGCCGCTAATGTCCGTTCCCACCGTCGCCACAGGGAGAGGTCCCGCTCGCGCAGCAAGGAGGCGCCGTCGCCGAAGCACGAGGAGGAGCGGCGCGCCACCAAGTCGCGCTCCCGCTCGCGCGGCCGCTCCGCCTCCCGCTCCGCTTCCCGCTCCCGCTCGCGCTCGCGCTCGCAGTCGGGCTCGCCGCGGCAGAACGGCGAGGCGCAGGAGCGCGCCAGCGCCGAACGCTCGCCGCGTAGCGGGGACTAGTGTCAGGCCCCTGTCTAGATTAAGCCGTGCCCTAGGTCTAGGCGTTAGTTTTATGATCTCGTGGCTTCGATCGTCGCTGTTGTCACTGGCTAGGTGCGTGGGGATACTGTTATGAGATTCGATTCCAATGCGGCGTGTTTTTATGACAGCCGATCTGATGGAGTAGTTTTTATTGGATTTTTTCGACATTTGGTGGACTTATGAACAATATTTAGCATTTCTTATTTCTTTACGGAGTACCGTAATACAAATCTTCGCCTTATTACTAATTATACAATATAAAATAACTAGAATTGGATATGAAAAAGAAGTCTTTAATAAAGATGAAGGTATCCTTACGCACATTTTAATTAATATTTAAGGTATTCGGGGTCGCGGTTTGTAATATAGGAATAATTAACGCGCACCGTGTTTATTCACGTTTTCAACGTCGCGTTGTTTCAAGTTTTGTCTTTTCGACTCACGTTTGATATGTTAAAATATTTCAAGCATTTTCACCTTTTGATAAATGCTTATAGTAACAACAAGTAGCATGTGTTGTCCATTTAATATTTTTATAACACCTTCGGAATGTGAAATGCGTTTTTAATTATTAAGAAGTTAGAGAATTGTGTATGGAGAGAATGCATTTATCTTTCATAAAATTTAGAACGAAAGGTGTGTTTTATGACAAAGATTCCTCTGTAAATTGACATACAAGTAGAATATTTCACCACGTTTTTTTTGGTGAATCTATCATAATATTTTGTTCAGACATCCTATTTTGTTTAGGTGTAATGGTATTTTTTGTAAATACTAAATTTGTTATTAGTAACCAAATAATAAAAATAATGATAAGATGCAAGTTTTTTTATTTATATTCCTTTACTTCCCTCAAAATTTCACTGAAAATCAGGGTTAAACACAAATTTCTCAATATTTGTATAATTTAGTTAAATTTAAGTATACTGTGTGCACATAACTTGACATTATGCGGTGTCTCGACTTAAGAGATTAATATACTTCACTGTTGCGTCTCAATATATTTATTGTTATATTTTATATGTTAAACACAATATTAATAATTATCTAAAGAATAGTGACAGACATAAACTAAATACTAGAAATAAGGACAAACTAACTACGCCATTGTTTCATCTACAAAAAGTAAACAGGTGGTTCATGGGGCAAAGTATGTGCATGCACAACAAATGCGGGTATCGCACTTGTCAAACATATTTATAATGCCTGGGAAAGGTCGCAAGATGCAATAGGTGTCTTTTGTGACCTTTCAAAAGCTTTCGACTGCGTAGATCACAAAACCCTACTTCACAAACTAGATTATTATGGTATTCGTGGCATCGCCCACAATCTCATTGCCTCCTACCTTAGTAATAGAGTCCCAAAAAGTATCAATAAATGATATTAATTCCGCTGGGACCCCCTATGAAAATGGGTGTCCCACAAGGATCAATCTTGGGCCCATTATTATTCTTAGTATAATATAAATGATCTCCCCTTTTATGCCAGTGAGTTATGTGATGTTGTACTGTTTGCTGACGACACATCGCTTATTTTTAAGGTTGACCGAAATGTATCGAATTATGACGACGTGAATAGTGCACTTTCGCGTATCCTCCACTGGTTTACCATTAAGAATATGGTGTTAAATGCTAAAAAAAAACTAAATGCCTTCTTTTTGCCCTTCCCAACGTAAGAAGGCAAAGTTTTAGCTTAAAATTGAATAGCGTAACCCTTAATCCTGTTGAGTCCGCTGTATTCTTGGGAATCACAGTAGATTCAAAGCTCCAGTGGAGTCCCAATGTATCATCTCTTGCGAATAGGCTAAGCTCCGCGGTTTTTGCGATTAGAAGGGTAAGGCAGCTAACAGACATTGACACTGTCAGACTTGTTTACTTCAGCTATTTTCACAGCATCTTGTCATACGGCATTTTGTTGTGGGGTAGTGCATCCGATATGAATTCCATATTTATTCTGCAAAAAAGAGCTGTCCGAGCAATATATAATATCGGAGCCCGGAGTTCGCTCAGGGATATTTTTAAAGAGATTAATATACTCACTGTTGCTTCTCAATACATTTATTGTAATGTTTTGTATATTCGTCATAACCTTAATTTTTACCTAAAGAATAGTGACAGACATAAATTAAACACTAGAAATAAGGACAAACTTACTACGCCATTGTTTCGCTTACAAAAGTAAACAGGGCGTTCATGGGGCAAGGTGTGCGCATGTATAATAAAATCCCACAGTCGATATTAAGTCTGCCGCTTGATCAATTTAAACGTAAAATCAAAAGTCAACTTATGGTTAAGACATATTACACTATTGCGGAATATCTCGACGACGCCTATGTGTGGAGTTAATACTGTTGATATTCACGTACGGTAGAATAAGACTATTATACCGGTATTTTATATTGTAAACTGATATCTTTGAAAAACAGCAACTGTTGAGTTTCTTGCCGGTCTCTTCTCAACAGAAACTGCTTTCCGAACCGGTGGTACCTTACGAACCTCTATGTATAATGTTTTAAGTAAAATTTCGACGATTCATAAGAACGTGCAAGCGTCTATTTGAATAAAGATTTTTGATTGATTGATATAATAAAATCCCACAGTCGGTATTAAGTCTGCCACTTGATGAATTTAAATGTAAACTTATGGCTAAACCATATTATACTATTGCTGAATATCTTTGCGACGCCAATGTGTGGGGTTAATACTGTTGATACTCACGTAGGCTAAAACAAGACTATTATACCTGTAACATTATATTGTAAACTGACCTTTTTAAAAAGAGCAACTGTTGAGTTTCTTGCCGGTTTCTTCTCAACAGAAACTGCTTTCCGAACTGGTAACTTACAAACATATTAATTTCCTTGTAAAATTTCGACGTTTCATAAGAACGCGCAAGCGTCTATGTGAATAAAGATATTTTATTTTATTATTATTATTAATACGGTGCGGTAACCATATACATAGCTATTCGAACATTTAAAGCTTAATATTAAATCATTCGTCATCAATCAGACGTGGTACTTACCCAGACAGATCTGCCCATTGAGTGGCCCCAACAGTAGAGGGTAATTTTTCATAACATCGTATCTTTTCTAGTTACATATATCGTTTTTTTTTCTCTACAAAATATAGGCTTTGTTTATTTTGAACTACAATTTGTCGTTTTATGTGCAACTATTATGTACAATAGCATGTAAATTGTATTTTTTGAAGTTATAATTTACATAAATTTTAAGATGCGCGCGGCATCACAGTAACATAAGAGTAACACCTTTGAAGCTACTAGACTGCTTATTATTATTCATATGCTTTTCCAAATTTTTTATAATTTTATTGTAATTTATTATTCGCATGCAATTAAAAACTATTTTTTATGATGCCAAAGAAGTATAACTTCTCACGCGCGTACATAACCTATTACACCTAGTACACACCTAATTTTTTAATTTCACAACAATTGCCACTCCCATATCCAAATCGTTCAGGCTAAATATTTAATATGTGGGTTAAAATTACCATTTATTGCAAAATGTAAAATATTGTAATTCGTGGTCTCTAACACAAGTGTCCAACAAAAAATATTTTTTATTAAAATATTTTTCTGAGCACCGAAGTGACTACACAAAAAAAACTTCATTCTATTCTACTCGCCCAATCAGTCATGGTGTTTACCACATCTACCATTATGAGTTGGGAATTATGCAAACGGCTAATTTGATAAATTTATCATATTTAAAAAAATGCGGTGATATGCATAGTCATCGGTTATAAATAATCACCACTTTACTTTTACCGTAACGTACCTATATAATACTCCTAAGTTCGACTATGTCTTCGTAAGCGGCCCACCTACTAAATAATTTTTGTTGTTTATTCCAGCACCCCCAGCTATACCTGAGGCGTTTCTACCATGAAATGCGATGGTTATGTGTTATTGTATGCTAACATTGACGAAAAAAAAAAAAAGTAGAATTATGTTAATGTTTTCATTAAAAAACTTTAGACATTTTTTATAAAGAATGTATCGTAATGCCATCTATTGACCATTTGTTTCAAATGAAATATAGCAAACTAGACTTCCTTGGTGTTGTATTTATTTTTCGAAATTGATCTTCCAGCCTAGATACTCCGGAAAGTACAAGGTACTTTCTAAAGGGTCCTTTAGAACGACACGATCTCTTTGCAATCAAAAAATCATTTTAAAATACAAAGACTGAACTCGAATCCAATTGACGAAGTAACTGGACATATTCAATTACTCGCAGATATAGGCAATTACGGAGGCAAACGTTTTTACGCCAAACTTAGACCAAAAGGTAGTCTAGTCATTTCTTGTATTCTTTGGAGGTATCAAACCGAAGGAATCGCATTTGGAGTCTGGTAGTTAGGTTAAATACGCTTGCGGCTTTTTCTATTTTTACAAGCTAAGCGTTTGGCTCTTGGAAGTCTAGAATTTTATTATTTTTATTTTTATTAGAAATTTCAAATCACACAATCTTCTTTCATTTTTCTATAAAAGCTGACATTTCTCGTCGACTGTGAAAGTAACGAGGGTGCAGATTCGAAAAGAGCACAGGATACAACGAAATTATTTTGAGGACGTAACTGGGAGCGGCCATATTTTGGCACCATTTCCGGTAATGCCTCAGCCGGCCAGCACGGAATGGATTAGTCACACTTATTATGTGAAAGACAAGTGAATCATCACAATTCATAACTGTTTCCAACAACTGTCTTTTCAACTGTTAAATGTTGTCAAAAGAACAGGCGGTTGACTTGATGTTAAGATGACCTGATGATAACCACCGTCCATGGGCATGTAGGACACCCGTAGGGTTGCAGATGCACCCTTTTAATAGTGCTCCAGTTATCACCAGATGAAACGCAGAGCGCGCAACAGCAAAGACTGTAGCGTGGTCCCACCACACCTATCTATTACCATTACCACTCCTCCAGAGGGATAGGAATCCCTCTGAGGTGAGGAGCGGTACCAACGAGAGGTATTTTGCGCAAGGTAATCATTTTACGGCTGCATGTTGTACCACTTCTACCACGAAACGATTTTTTTTCCAGATCACTACACCGCGAGATTCAACATTGAGTTTAGATTAATAAGCACTGCGCTTAGCAAAGCTATTATATTCCTTATTCAACTGAGGCATACGTATTTTTTTGCATCGATGAAAGTTTGCATAAATACGAAATAATAAATATTCCTGCAGCAGTCTCCGGTGACGAAGATTTGAAAAGAAGACTTTTCTTTGTTCTTAATGCATGTATTCCCGGGATCATTTCTTTTTATCCCCTACATTTCTAACATCATTCTCTATGGCAGTCATTATCGATTATTTTCATTATTTAGAATAAAGGTAAAAATAGAAATAGAAATTTGCTAAAATTTTTGCATACTGCGAAAAAATTGGTACTTCCATAAAAATAAATAGGAAAAACCATTTACAGTAACGAAGTAAAAGTATTACGCCGGCTCCACACATTGGTGGTGGTCTGCTGATACGTTGCCTATTATTTATGTTCCGTCACAGCCAATGTGAATATGTCCGACATAGAAATTGAAATCGCTCTAAGCGATTTCACATTATTCAGTGCATATTATAATTTTTATTTGTAATTAAAAAAAAAGGAAAAAGCCACATCAAACAAGATGGTGGATGAAAATTTTATTTCTTTATAGGCGATATGTGCTCATCAATTACTCTCCCTTTTTTTTAATATACAATTGAGTAAATTATTGCCATGATTTGTTGATAAAGATTTTTGATCCTTCCTAGATATTTCCTATGTTATTAAATGTCTCTGGTAAATTACAATAAATTCAATTATTATTTTATTTGTCCATGCTGGTGGCGATTTTGTAGATGAGGATGACATTCAGCTACACTACAATTTATTTGTTTTGTAATTAACAACTTTTATTGACACACCAATTTGTTCTATTCTTATTTTAATTGTAATAGTGGGATGTATAAAATATTTATAAACAGGTACTGGAGACTTGGCATAAATCTGATTATCAAATAAGATACTGTAATCGATTTTAAAAAAGACTATTCCAATGTAAACTCCGGTAAACTCTATTTGTTTACTTATTTTTGTGCAATAAATCTTTGATCGAGAAAATTTATTGCAGATCACATTGGGTTATGTAGTGGTTTGGTAGGAAATTATATGTACAGAATATTAAGATTTGTTATCGTGGCAAACGACAGTTGTAAAGATTACCCTCAATAGTCCTAATATAATAAAGTGGGGGTAGAAATTAAATATCTTGTTAATCTTTTGTAAACAATTGTTTATTAACATTTTATCTCGTTGCATCTCTGCACATAATAATACACATTCGTCGCAAACACTCGCTGGCATAATCACCACTGCGGCAACAATACAGTATGACTTTATTCGATAGGATCTATTTATGGAATTATTTGTTACATTTTTCTATACAAGGTCGCTTTCATTTTTCTTTACTAAGTTTAGAAAATCAATGTGAATATACTAAAAGGTTTTATATATAGAAAGGAAAGGTACAATAATAATTGTACTCATCTAATATAGACGAAAATATAGATTATTTAAGAATTATCAATTGAATCGCATGCAAAATAAACTTAGAAAAATAGCGAAATAAAAAAATAAAGACCATAAAAAAGATAAAAGATACCTATGAAAAATGGAATGATTTGAAATTCTATCTTTCAGTATACTCACACTTTCAACTTTAAATGCATGATAATTCACAAATCAAACTTGTTCAAAATACAAATCAAGAAGTCAATTTCGCTTCAGTCAATTGTAAACAAAATACAAAAAATAATTTAACATCGATTTTTTTCAATATTTTAAATGTTATTCAAAGATAATACGGCTGCAATAAATAAATTAAAATACTGTCATTTTATTGGTGGCTTAACGAAATCATAATATGGTATATATAAAATTTATTAAAAATATATCAAAAAGAAAAATGAAAGTCTGATGCTTCGCTGTGATCAACTTTAAGTACAATATTAATGTATCTATTACATCCATCTGGTAATGATTCATTATTATTATTTCTTTTCACATAATTTAAACTTACATTTTGTCATCTTACAAAATTAAATACAAGAAACATTATTATTGATCATCAGTCTATTCATAGTTTGATATAAATTTTACAATTTCTCAAAATTGTCGATTTAACCTTCTTCTAATCTACGCACGAGTACAATAGACAACACAGGACGCATATATTGGAACAATATCTACAGAGTCTTATAAAAAAGGGCAAATTTAATATATATCGCAGCCGACGGGCCGACGACACGACACGGGTCCGATCGGGACCCGTGACGAGTCCTGGGCGATGTCGGTGCGCAAAATGAGCGTTGCGCCGCACCTATTACAATAAATAAGTTAAAAAAAAAACAACGTGCACCCGCGTCCCGTGTTGCCTAACGACGCATTATTGTCACAGTACTCTTACGGTATCAGTGTGGGGAATATACTTACATCGCTACAACTTAACAGTTTCTATACACAATGACTTAGGTTTCGACATTTTGTTCACTTATAAGTACACGAAACTACGTTTTAGCCTACGGACTAAGTTGGGTGCGCGGTGCGGTGCCAACGGGGCCAGCATCGCCCCCAAGTGCTACAACGACATGGAGGCGGTGCGGGTGCCGTTGGGGACCCCTGCTGGGGCCCCGTTCCGAGTACGGGAAGCGGAGTTAAGTGGGGGGGGGGGGGGGGGGGGGGGGGGGGGGGGGGGGGGGATGGAGAAAAAATCTATGTCGATTTTCAACAAAACCGGAACAAGATTTTCGTTTGCAATCACCATATCCGTTTACAATCATAGGAACAAATGACAATAATTAGTCAATCACAAAAAAAAAAAAACAACATAATCAACGCAAGGGCCGACGAGCGCGTCGGGTTCCACTCGGCATTAAGTCTAAGAGTCTCATACCACGCGTTTTGGCTTCTATACTGGTGCGAGTGTAGGTTGGCGTGTGGAGTTCCACCTTCGCGGTCTTCCGCCGCTTCGCCTATCAGAGATCGCGGCCGTGGACCCTGGCCCACCGGGGTCCACCACCGGCCCCGGCGGCCCCACGGGCCAGTTCCGTGGGCCCCTGGGCCGGCACAGCGCGACCCGCCGCGCCGTTACTATGTACAGAGGGCGCGCGGGTCGCGCTCGCAAATAAATACACCCGAATCGCTTAAACTAGCCGTCTATACAGGGGGTTTGTCACTTTACAATTAACGCTATATGTACACGCGGCGCACAGCCTGTTTTTCCCGCACGAGCGTCCGTTACGAAAATAAATAAGTTAACGTGTCCACTGTCGCGTCGGTATGCACTACACTTGTGTGGCGAACGTCGGCGGCAGGCAATGGTCGTCCAGCACGTACACCCCCCCGCCTTCTAGCGCCCGCTTCACCAGCGATGTATCGCTGCAAAAGAAGAAACGACCGGTTAATTAAGTTCAATTCAAATCAATGTAGTAAATGTAATAACTGCGTGCTGAAAATTTTCGCGGGGTCTTTTTTAATTGCGAGCTGTGCCGCCCGTGGACATCCGCAACTTAAGGTTGCAAATGAGTTTTAATAAAGTCAGCCCCGGTTACCTCACTCATCAGATGAAACGAAAAAGTATAACACTTTCACTTGTGTGAAATACTTCCCCGGACGAGCTAGCCCATTCATGCAACAGCATGGAATGCTGCGTGGCGCTATCACAGACAAACGTTCTTTGGGTAAGTTCACAGTGGACCACCACTTTGTTCATCGTTGTAGAGTTTCTCCTGTTGCCTCTACAATGCTTCAATAGGACTACCACAGACGATGCTATATCGAATAGGGGGCGCAATGAAACAGATACAAACCTGTTGGCGCAGTAAGCGGAGTCCGCGGAGAGCCGCGACAGCCTCGGGTCGAGGGCGGCCAGCAGCCGCGCGGCGCTCTCCGTGTTGAGCGTCTTGCGCTTGCACTCCTCTGCGGCCGCGTTGTGCGCGTTCTGGCACTCTGCGGGCGCGTCGCACTTGCCCCACGTGTTGCGTATCACGCGTCCGCCCGCGTTGGCCGCGTTCTGCGCGCGCGCCTCCGCGTCGGCCGCGCGCGCCGCCCGCCGCCTGCGCACGCACAGCGCCGCGCCCGCCGCCAGCGCCAGCAGCGGCACCAGCGCCGAGGCGGCCGCGATCAGCGCCACGTGGCCGCGCGACAGCCGCTCCGCCCCCCCCTGCGCCGCGTCGCCCGCCTCGCCGCCCACGCGCCGCAGGTGGCCGCCCGCAGGCTTGGCCGCGGCCAGGTCCGCCAGCGACACGGTGCACAGGCGGCCGCTCCAGCCGCGCGGGCAGAGGCACGCGTAGCCGTCCACCCGGTCGCGGCACGTGCCCCCGTTGCGGCACGGCGACGAGGCGCACTCGTCCACGTCCACGCTGCAGTCCTTGCCCGCGAAGCCGGCCCGGCAGCGGCACTCGTAGTCGTTGTCGAGCACGAGGCACTCGCCGCCGTTGGCGCACGGCTTCGCGAGGCAGAGGTCGACGCGGGTCTCGCAGCGGGCGCCCAGGAAGCCGGGCGCGCACTGGCACCGCTGGCCGTTCATCAGGTCGACGCAGGTGCCGCCGTGCTGGCACACGACGCCCGCGCAGTCGTCGATGTCGATCTCGCAGCGGTTGCCGCGGAAGCCGGGCCGGCAGCTGCACTGGAAGCCGTCGCCGGCGCGCGAGCAGGTGGCGCCGTTGCGGCAGGGGCCCGGCGGCGCAGGGGTCGGCCTCGAGCGCGCAGTCCGGGCCCGCGTAGCCGGCGGGGCAGGCGCACGCGAAGCCGGCGGGCCGCGGCTCGCACGAGCCCCCGTTGCGGCACGGCTGGTCGGCGCACGTCTGCCGCCGCGTCTCGCAGCGCGCGCCCTCGTAGCCCGCGGGGCAGGCGCAGGAGAGCTCGCCGCCCTCGTCGGGCACGCACGCGCCGCCGTTGAGGCAGGGCCGCACGGCGCACGAGTGCCGCGACTTCTCGCAGTCGGGGCCCGTGTACTCGGCGGGGCACACGCAGGTGTAGCTGCCCTGGCCGGTGTTGTGGCAGGTGCCGCCATTCCTGCACGGCCGGTGGTTCGTGCAGTAGTTCAGGTCCTGGTTGCAGAAGAGGCCGCCCCAGCCCTCCTCGCAGATGCAGTCCCACGGCTTGGAGCAGGTGCCGTGGACGCAGCCCGGGTGCCGCTCGCACTGGTCGCACAGCTCGCCCACCCAGCCCGAGTGACAGCTGCAAGGGACGAGGAGAACAACGGTCAGCGGACGAACGCCAGCGATGTGATAACGAGCGTCTAAAAGGCGTGCTTTTCGACGTTCACGGAACAATGCGGCCCGGCATGAATGAGTCGGGCGCGCGGGGTGGCGACGTGAGCGTTTAGCACTACGGTGCGAAGTGGATACTCACATGCATTCGTCGGGCCTGAGGCAATGGCCGTGCTCCGAGTCGCAGCCGGGCAGGCAGCGAGCTGCAACAAAGGAGATGTTCGTTAGAGCGGCAAACGAAGACAAAGCGATCGCGTTAAATATATATACATATGCGCAGGCGACCGTTGCGTCCCCCCTTACATTAGTCTCTTGCTCGCTACGGAATCGTCTCGCAAAGGATATAGCAATAAAGATGTTCGTTAGCGCTCTTTCCCAGTCGGGGGTGAGGTCGCGCGCAACCTCGACTTATCGCATATCAACAACATCCTCCATAAACTTTACGGCCCGCATTCGACAAACTTGGAACAGGTGCGCGCCACGGCTCGGTGTGAATCGATCCGGTCGCCATGGAAACGGGCACGTTACACACGAGCGCCAAGGATGAGCGGACGCCGAGGCGGCGGCGCACCGCGAGCGCAATATGCGCGTCGTTAACCGTGCGATTTACGCTCCGCACACAACGAACAGCGCCGAGCGCACGAGCGCACTCGCGGCGCCGAGTGCATTGCGCTCCGTGAACCCCAGGTGGCGCCGACGCCAAAGGTAACGGGCGGCAATGTAAGGCGCGTCTAATTGTAAAAACTGCGTTTAGAAACGAGAAGTGCGCCGCGCACTCGTATCGGTCGGGTGCGCACGGGCAACTTATCGGAGCGAATACAAAGGGGGGCAGATAGCGCGGGGAGCGAGCCCAACCGACGCCCGACCGTTACCAGTTCCCCCGGCTAGAAACGTCGTGGCGCCATTTTGCCAGGGCTTAATCCGACTTTGTGGCGATTCAGACGGGGACGAGGAAGCGCGCTCGGTCAGTTTGTATTGCTGGATACATCCCGGCGGGCGGCGAAGTGGGATATAGAGGGGATTAGCCTCCCCCGTCGCTCCCCGTTACGCAGTTCTAAGCCTCGCCGTGTACCGAGCAAAGCCCCCGAAAGTGCACTGGCCTAATCGGCTTACCGCTCGCGCTTGCAAATCGCCGGCGCTTAGTTTGCCTAGGTTCAATTTAGATTTACCGAGAGCTTACACGGCAGTGCTGTTAGTTTAATATATATAGAACGAAGGCGGATTGCGATCGGATAACGACTCCCTTAGAGACAATCGAGCACGCCAGACGGCGGGCGCATCGAAGAGCAGATCAAAGGGCATCAAGTGGCCGGAGCGATTGCTCATTGCTCTATCCACTCAAAAAAGACGCCACTCCACCGGTGAGCTTATCTGGGCCGCCCGAAACGTTCGGTAAAACGGGGCGCCGTAAAAGTTACAGAGGGCTAGGGAGGCGAGTGGGAGGCGACCCCCTAACTGAGACACATTAATTATCGACGGCAACGATGGGTATCGATTCGCAGTGCGCCAAGCGTTATTCGGCGTAAAGACTCCTCGATGGCCTTCGAGAATATTCGGCCGCCCGCATCAGGGAAGGGACCACAGGGTCGGGAAACCCGTGGGATTCGCGACGAGCTCTCGTGAGAACGAATCGAGCGCTCGGCAATTGGGCGAAATTGCACATCTCACCCGGTCATTAGCGTCCCGGTTAATGCATTCGGGGCATGCGATCGATACACCACTCCGGGACGGGTTAAGCTTTCCCAGAAGGCCGGGATACCGTTCGGCAGATGCGGCGCTGTCGTGACACGGTCAAGTGTTTGGTTTATTTCCGATTGCGAGTTTCGTTTCACGCTCGCGAGGTGTTCACCGCGGTGGCGCTGTGTGCGTGCCTGTCTGTAGTGTGTACGTGCACTGTGCGCGTGTGCGTGCGCGGGCTCCGTGCGTTGTTTTCATTACACCGCGGCCGATCTTCTCTCGCTTTTACATTTTCGTAATCGCCTATACCGAGAGCCTCGCGTTAGGGTTGCCGTGCGCCGCTATACGTTATTAAGTCCGCGCTAACAATGTTTACCGCGTCAGTTAATAAGATATCCTCATATTCGGACCACATTTCTTTTAAAACGCTCGAGACACGTAAGCAACTAGAGCGGCGGCGAACTAGTCCCCATTAACATTAGATATTACATTGAAATGGCTGCAGTTCATAAATCTCTAGGTATGTCTTACGAGACGGCGATTACAAATCGTATAGTTGCTGACGCGCGATTAAAAAATCCGTAACTAGACGTTAATACGGTTTTTAAGCGGAGAGCGGTGCTCAGCCCTGGTGCGTGAGCGGGACGGCGGCGCGGCCGCTCTCGCCGTCCCTGTCTGGCGGGTTTTTTTGCGGCGCCGGAGTGTGGGAACCCGGCGGCAGGTGGGGCAGCCGAGATTGCGATGACATCCGCCCCGCCACAATGCATCTTGAGCGCGGAGTTGTTTTACGATGCGTTCAACATACGCCAGCGTTTGAAAGGTTTAGACGGGGGCCCTTTTTGTGCGTCCGCTGCCACCGCACCATTGCGAATTCTGCGCGCGTAGAATGCTTTAATCGTACCACCGTTGAATGGGACCGAATGAAGTTGACCGTTCGTTTCGATCTCTCGTCCATCCGAATGAGACTGGCCGGTCAACGAGTTGTACGCAATAAATAAAAACAAAACATCTCAATGAATAAGGGCGTGGAACGCGTCGAGGGTTTAAATTTCGAATTGAAATCGAAACGATTAAGTAATCGTAATATGCTAATGAAAATCTCGCGGCGGACATTGATTTATGTTGTGACGATACGGGCCTCTATCTCGGATGCCTTTGTTTACGCGTACATCTATTGAATCGGAGACAAACAACTAACAAAGACCACACGCATTTCAAGCGACATAAACAGCCTACTTCAGAAGCCGCCGTAGAAAATGTGAATTTTGATTGATTAATATATGAATCATAGACAAAATTCGTTTTTTATCAAAATGGACCAAGATTGATGAAAATCATTTGAGAACAATTAGAAAAGTAAAGCTTCCGCTTGTTTCACGTACGAGTAGGTATGAGCAAATGACCTTAAATATTTTAGTGACCCGTTAATGCCGTCTTTCTTTTTTATTTCTTTGACGTCATGCTCTATGCAATAAAGTTTAATTGTGGTTAAGATAACCATCAACAAATTAAAAATGTTGCACGGACCATAGAAACTGGATCCGTCGTGGCAACCCATAAAATATTTTTTTTTATGTATTAACTACTTCATGTGGAAACTTGCACTTGGAACAATTAGTAATAAAAGTTTCATATCATTAATCTTTCGATGCGATAGTTTTAGAGTAAGTAATACTAAGTAATTTCGGGTCATCGACCTTGAGTATGTTTGGGCGTGAATTTTATTCAATAGAATTAGACGTTTACGAGATATTCTTTTTAATTTATAATGATACTGTGGACCGGTTTCATGGTTTGGTACACGTTAATATTTGGTTTAGATGGCGTTAATTAGGAACGTAATAAGCGTTTGAATGGAAACGGAACCAAATTAGGGATTAAGGTTTAATGTTGATAACGGAAAGGTGTGCACAGAGAATTATTCCCGTATATTATCGTAAGGTATTCGTCACGACAGACCAATAAAAGAGGCGAGTCGTAAAAGTATTTTACGAGCGGCATAAAGTAAAATGTATCTGATCGGAGTATTACGAGGGCTTAATGCTGTCGATATATCCCGAAAACGGTTTATTGAATGTTATACAGCGCTTACGTAACTGTTTACCGGTAATTGTAAACATACACAAATATACACAACCTCCGTGGATCGATCGCGATATGCGGCGTTGTCATTTAATCGGCGGATAGAGAATAAAATCCGAAAAAATATCGCCTTGTCTATGGACAGAGCTGCATTATCTTTATAAATAGGAGACAGTGAACCTCTGAACTCCTCGATGAGTCACCGAGGTGCGGCGTTCGCCCGCGGCCGCAAAAACCAGGACGCTGAGAGAAAACGCTCCGCCGGCGTTGCCGGTGAAAAGGTCGCGCAGTTTCAATTAGACACATTTGCGAGAGGATGTTCCGTTGAAACATTTCGGACGTGGCACGCATTTAATGAGGAAGAGTGAATTGGGGGCCGTTCCACATTCAAATACGCGTGCCGCGGTGACAATTTTCGCTTCGAAATTTCAATAGTTCGCCGTAATTAGAAACGGCCCGGGCGCAGCGCGCGTAATGCGAGCACCGTGAGACCATATCGCCGATTTGTCGTGGCCCGTTGTTGTGTAAACAGAAACCGGGCGAAATGCCCGTAGCGATATTAATTCACGATCGGCTGCTGTATTTTTAAACGAGGAAGAGCCGTAAAGAGGTTCTAAAAAAAGAAATCCGATTCGAAAATAGAACGCCGATTGGGATGGAGTCGCATTGTTTACGTTCACGTGCGCGTTCGATATTCAAACCGGCGTGTTAGGGTCGGTACTCACGTTTGGAGCAGTAGTCGCCGGTCCACCCCGGGCGGCAGACGATCTCGCCGGCGGGCGAGCAGGTGTAGTGGCCGAAGGAGTCGTTCCTCGGCCGGCAGAAGACCTCGCAGCCGGGGCCGTAGTAGTGGGCGGCGCACGTGACCCGGTAGGAGAGCCTCAAGTGGGCGCCGCCTGGACCGCCCCACCGCTGCTCCTCTTCGACCCACGGGCCGCCGACGTCGGCAATGCTCTGCTTCGTCATACGCGCAATAAGGGTATCTGAAAGAGAATTTGAAGTCATTAAATCGGGTCAAGATTAAAAACATTGTGTTCGAATTTCGAATGAAATTCTGACCTGACGAATAGGCAGATATTGTTTTATGGCCCAAAAGCGATTTTATGCTTAATAGAATATGAGTTAGTTTTCAATGGATTGAAGATGGCCTACTTAACATAATGTACGTTCATAGAAAAGGCATTAGACAATCCGACGTCTATAGGGGCGATGTTCGTGCGGAGCGCTCCGTAGATCCGAATCTCGGTTAGGATAACGACACGCTTAATTTGATTAAGTCGGGAAAAAGCACCATCCGTGGTCCCGCTTATCGCCGTGGGAAAGGGTTGCGAGAGTAAATTGAGCTGTTAGTGTTAGTGTCTGTTTGGTGAGGGCATGTAACGCGGGAAATCCATTGTTCGGCGAGTGATGCGCCGCGCTGCATCGTCGGCGCCCGTTTTGATTGATTTGGACACGCGCGTTCTTTGGCAACAAGTTTCGGAGGGAATCACCGCGCGATTTTTCTAAACACCAACAGAGTCACGAGACCGTTGGACGTTGTCAGGAGACCGTACAAGTATTTATAAAAACAGTTTTGCATTTCGTATGGCGAGTATAGCAGTCGCGACCGATCTTAAAGCTTAGTGGAATATGAGGTTTGTGGACGGCCCATAAACAGTTATCGTTTGAAAACTAAAAAGTTACCTCAAGCATAGAACTAAACAAGGTTCGATATATAATATATACGTGTATCGAAACGGTGCACAGATTAAAAAAGCGTCGATCCATTCATCAACGGGGCGGCCGTCTACGCGGAGGCGCGCTGAGAAACCTCGACGGCGAGCGTTCGAGTTGCTACGTTTATTTATCTCCCACCCGCGTTCGCCGTCGTGGTCTTTTTGCCCGTGGCCGGCGCTACATTCCCGGGCCGGTAATCCCGACGTCGGACAAAATTAAACCAGACGCGAAACAAAATTAAAAGGCACATAAAAAACCTATACGGGCGCACTAATTTCGCGCCCGCAACGAGTGGATTGTTCTCCGCCGCGTGCGGTGTCTGCCACGGTGTAATGAGGTGGGCCGCCGACGTGTCATCGAACGATTTCGAACGATTCGTAATGGAACGATTGATCAGTTTCATTTCGAACGTTCCGAAATCGAAACGATTGATTCGTTTCCGAACGGAGATCGATTTACGAACGCTTTTGGCGCGAGCTGAGACTATACGCGGACGGCGCGCGCAACTGCACACGATACAGAGCCGCGATCACACAGTCGCTATCGGAGCAATAAATCCGCGAGATAAAACGAACAGATACACATACACCCCGCTGCCCACCAAACGGAAACGCAATAAATATAGATTTATTCCGATCAGGAGTCGAGAGCTTAAATCAATCCAGGGATCCCGCACGATGAGACTTCATTACGCAGGTTTGAGAGTGGTCTCAGAATGCACGTGATCAAAGATACATTCACGGCGGCTGTATAAATCAATTGCATAACGGATATAATATTAGCTATACGAGTAAGATTTGCGCGTCAGAATACGCTAATTCAGAGTGAGCGTCATTACATACGAGTTGCGGTGTCGGTGAGGTTAGGGGTAGGGGGGAGAGAGGGGAGGGTTTAGAAACTGACGTGTGGGAAAGGAGTCTGAATCGCGCACAATTTAACTCCGCTCGACCGTCAGCTGTTTTAGGGTTGACACTCTCCGAAGTTATCTGTGCCACCTAGTAAGAAACTACATAATTATAACAAGCGAACTAAATCGATATTCGCTAACCCTATCTTTATGTGCCTCGGTCGATGCCCAAATAACACTCATTACTATGCGTCGGCGCCACAAAAGTGAACGATCCCATCTCGAGAATTATTATTTATATACAAATGAAGAGACCACTTTAAGCGAGGACGATGTACGTGTTTAGTGAGCGTGTTATTACGGTCTAAGGTCAGGTGAGGCGCGGTCGAGTCGCGGCTTTTAGAAAAAAAAAAAAAACAATAAAAGAAAGCACGTAACTCTGGTCGGCGTCGGATGCCGACGATTTGGGGCCGATGCGTTATTAGGCGCGATTTCGAAGAGAACGGCAGGGGCGCGATCACGCGATGCGGCTTCCGATGGACGTATCGATGCGCCGGATGCGAACGGGGCGCTCATTATGCTCGCATCGACGGCGTCCGATGGAGCCGGTCTAGATTGCGGGCTAATTAGCTAGTGATGTGCCGTCGGCGTATCGATCCCCGGCACTCACGCCGTCGCAGTCACGACTGTCGAGTGATGCGCGATCGAACAAGCGCGCTCGATATCGACGAATATCGGACTCTGAAAACATTTCACGAACGGACTGACCCCGCCGCGGCACTCGTCCGAGCGCTGTGGGAAACGGAATTTCATCAATGGACTGTGCACACAGAGCGCTCACTCCTTTTGTTTATAAAACTGTCCACTTCTAATGCCCGACGAGTTTTCAATTTGAGCCGCGGCGTGCCGGGCAAACAATCACGCGGCGTCTGCGCTCCGTTCAACTTGTGCGTGACGGACGGGGAAAGGAGAAAACAAACCGATCTCAACACTGATTCATACGCATGCCGTCTAGTCGTACATTGGTATAGAAACGTCGATTGGGCCGGGCGGCATCGCAGATTGGGTAACGGCCGTCTACTCGTCTGGCTAGAGCCAATTAACGCGACGCCGTCGCGACAAGAAAACCCTGGGAACCGAGGGACGGGAATGCGCAATGAATTGACCAATAATGCACGGCCAGGTAAGCGCACGTCGCGGAAGGCTGCGCGGACTAATCCGTCTTGATACACAATCCGCACACGCGAGCACGCTGTAATACTTTAAATATCGAACGCTAACGTTTTAAAAACATAAATCCAACAAAGGCGGCACATTCGGTACACACGAGCATATTATAATCTTTTAAATATCGAAGGCTAAAATTTTAAAATTATAAATTCAAGAAAAAAAAAATAAGTAACTCAACATGCCATATATGGACGGCAACGGCATGACGAGATGGAGCCGGAAATATATATTTTTTTCAACTTGCCGTAGAAAACCCGGCGGGTCCGGTCGAATACCGGATATCTGGCAACACTATCCACGAATCGGCCGTCGCTTCATTTCACACGCTCCGCCGCAGCGCCTATATGGAGGTGTAAATCGAGACAGTGCGATATCGTAAACGGAGAGCGACGCCGGTAAACAGAGCGAGTCATATCGCCACGGGCATGTGCTGGGCATCTGTCGACACCTTCTGAGCGCTGGTGGCTTCATAAATCGAGCCTTCCGGGGGCGGCTTCCTCCGAGTTTTTTTACCCATCTCAAGCCCTACGACGAAAGATGCGGTAAACTCGAAAAATTACACTTCCTAGTAGGTACTATGTGTGTGTGCGTGTGTGTGTGTGTGTAGGTTTTGAAGCTAAGGGCCCGTTAGTACGCCAGGTGTGGCGGTCCTCGCCCCGGGCGAATCACAAAGGCGCGCGCTAAGGGAGCCCGACAGGATCTGCCACCATTGTTGGCGCGGCGATTTCTCGAGTCGCAGAAAACCGCTTTATTCTCGTCACAATGGTGTTAACACTACGATGGTTTCGGTCCGTTGCCCCCGCCTAGTTCCTCGAGACGAATTCGAAGAAACCGAACTTTAGTGATGTATGGCTGAAGCTATTCTTTGGCATTCGACTTCAATTTGGCTTCAATTTCTACCTCCTTTTGTGCCGATACCGATAACTCAAACAGCTGATACTGAAGTAAAACATTGTCTCAAAACATTGTTGTTTACGCGTTTTCGAACAAAGGAGCGTTCGATTAGGCTCTTGTAATAGAAATAGTTGGAGGGAAAAAAAACCTCGAATGTGATTTAATTAAGCTACGGGGCGGCGAGATAGTGAGTGCACACAAACTGCTGTGCTTGTAACCTGTTATTATGGTTGATTAGATTTCTGTTGGTTACGTTTCTCGGTAGTGATGCGGCGCCGCCCATCGCTCCCGCGCCGTATTAAAAATACACCCGTCCTCTCATTAGTGTTGCCATAAAAGTGAATTGTGCCGGATTTCTTGCGCTATGCGTACGACATCGGACAACAAGCGCTTCAATCGTTTCAGCGGTTCGTACGTAACTGGCAATTGGAACTTATACAAAATTATCGGGACAAACTGTTGCTGCGTATTTGGATGTACACAATTTAAGTCCCGAGATTTCCTTTCGGAACGCGTAGCCGCCCTAATCCTAAGCTATCCCACTTGGGACGCTAATGATTTTCGGTAACCGGCTCCGTAGCGCACCGTATCTCCGAATCTCTTTTTAAGTAAATCACGCTCGTTTTTTGTTGGGCCCCGAGATGTAATTATGACGGTCAGAGTGCAGTGGGAACGGAATCTAATTATGAAATGGGCGGGTGTTCGGTGTTCGGTGTGCGCGAATCCGGGGAAATATGATGCGGGCGTGTCGCAACTCTATTCGATGGAGCATATTATCATGGAGCCGTTTTTAAACATGTTCGATTTTCGAATTAAATTATTATTTGTTTCATTCTAGCGTTTGACTTTTTTTTAATTAAATACGTTCGATTTTCGAATTAGTATTCCATTCTTTTCATTTGTCTCGCCCTTCGGATTTAAGTTTTATTTTATTCGACAGGAGTCTCCTTTTAGGAATGACTGGTCGTTCTTGAAGTTATATTAGTTCGTATTCTGTCGAACTCGAGTAGCGGTCTACGAGCAAATTATCATGATGTATTTACGTTTCGTTCGGTTACATTTGCTTTTCGGAATCGGTTATTCGGTCACGCTATGTCGCATGTGCGCTGTCCAACTGTCGATAGTTTATTGGGCTCCTCGAATGCGCGTCGGTCCCCGAATTTATAACGAAATTGGAATTGCCGAAATTGGAATGGCGCACGATTCAAAATTAGAACAATGTACAATGTAGTTGGAATTAGTTTTTTTTTCCCCCCCGTCTCGTTTATCCGCCGACCGGGCAACGGTCAACGGCCATAGGAATACATTAGAACATTTCTACTAAATTTTCGTCCTACAGAAGGCTGACTTTATTAGAATACGAGGCGCATTGGCACGCAAATCACGCGCCGCGCGGCGTGCCCTGAACGCAAAGCGTCCACACCATGGGAACATTTTTGTCCTCCACGATGTGATAATATAAGCATTCAAATATACATACTGTCCGTTAAATGCACGATAAACACCCAGAATTACAGTGAAACCTGAATGTGAGCGAGTCGTGGCATACGTGATTTGAATTTTACGAAAAAAACTTAGGAAAAATGTAAAAATAAGAGTGCATCGCTCTTACAGTGTGAGGCGTTGATATTAAAAAAAAAACTGCTTGCAAACTCACCATCGGATCTTGACGTTTCGTTCGTGTCGTGCCACGCTTCGACTATCAGCGAGAAAGTGCCCTGGAAACAAAAAAAAACGTCATTCATACACCCGCAGCATACACATTTACTTTACATTTTTTAAGTAGTTACTCATATTTATCGAACATAAACATCGATTATCGTATATAAACATTAAAATATGATAAATAAACATAAATGCAGAAAAGGAAATGACAAAAGTCACCCTACAGAAAAGGTCCGTTACGAGTACCGAACGAGCGTGTTGTCTAGTGGGACTGGCCATCTACGCAGAATAGCCATATGCGAAAAATGGAAAACGAAAATTAAAAAGTTCGAGTATGCGTAAAGGCGAGAAACCTAACGTCAAAACTTATTACACTAGGGTTATGTTTATATGTAACAAAATACACAATATGTCAACATACACATAATGACAACACAGCTGCATAGCCATTTCGATATTACAAACAATAAAACAATTGGACAATTTCTGGCTTTTCGGTTTGGACATTTCCGTATCGTCCGACTTCGAGCCGCACGCGGCTCGACGGCCTTCTCGAACGTTTCCTATAGTTTACGACCAGTTTCGTTACGGCGTACGAGTGTAAATTAGCAGCGGAGCGGGAGGACAGGTGCAGCCGTGGAGGCAGATGCTTCGCGGCCAGTATTATAACCACTAAAAATAGCCGGCGCACTCGCGCACAACTCGAGCGCCCAATATGGAGGCTACGCTTCCGAGCGGGGGGCGCGCTATCAGATAGCGCCGCTGTTGACACTCGCCGCTGTTTGCTCAGGGTGTTGTCGTTGTTGGGACGGTTGTCGAACGCACCGATTAAGCGCGATAACGGCGCGGCCCGGCTGACGACTTATCGACGGCGACCGCGCCGTACTCGCTCTAGGCGCCGTCCGCGCGAAAAAGCGTCGGGCCGAGAGCGTGCAACAACCTTCCGCCGCGCGAAACAATGGTTGCGCGATCATTCAGTTCGTTCGCGTATTGTAAAAAAAACAACTCCAGGATCAGATGCCCGTTCGAGTGTGAAGGTGCGCGCGTCGACGGCGAGATCGCGAGGCGCTCCCGCTAAGCTCACTTTTTTTTTTCTATTTCGATATCTTCACTCAATCGTGTCCCGCTCCGATGCGATGAGACGCTCGATCGGAGTTCGATTTTCGAATGTAAATTACGCAAGTCAAAAGGTTGACCCCGTCCCGATCGTTAACAAGCACAAAGAGTGGACCCGAAGCGATAATGAGCCGACTCGAAATCCTTGATTGTGTCCATTGGACGCGAGGCGGGGAGGGAGGAAATCAGAGAAGTGTGGCAATAATGGCCGCGTCGGCGTTCATTACTGGAGGCGGCCATCAATAAGTCGACCCCTCATTTACTTCAGAATCGACCGCTACAAAAATCTCAAGACTACGCGTCGTAACATTGTAATAGCAATCAACGGATGGGGCGGCCGGCAGCTGTGACCGGGCGGATATGAGAGGTCAACTTAATTCCTTCATATGACACGCTCGCATCAGCGCATGATTCAATTTTCCACCGCCAGATGTCCCCCACCGCCGGAGTTAATTAGCGCCGTATGAAAAGCGCCATTTGCATCGCGAGATATAACAATGAAACCGTGGATGGGAATCGATGCTAGAAATCGGCGGTTTCCCAACGTCTCGCGCGTCGAGTGTAACAAGAAAGCTTTTCTTTTCGATCGGACGACGCAATGTACTCGACGTGGTGGGGTTTTGACGAATTTTCAATAGAGCACCACGCGTCGTGAGCCGAGCGGACGCGTTATCGCCCGCCGCTGAATACCAAACAGGCTACCGATCTGAATAAACATGCTCCGGGGCTTATCCAGCGAACTGTCGAAACAACCTGCACTCTATTCGCTGCGCGCCAAGGGTCGAAACGTCAGGCGGGGCGCGGGCGGTTTCGCGCGCTCAAACACGTTAGGCCGCGCTATACGACGCATTGATTTGTTAATCGGGTATGGAGAGCGCATTTCGGTCAGCTGTGGCGAGGCGTAAGCGTATGCCGGTTCCCACGGCGGTGACTCTCGGGGACGGTCCATAAAAAGCGACCGACGCCCGAGCAAGCGACGTGCGCAGGTAGCCTTTATAAAGCTCCACAATCGTCCGCCACGCCGCACACTCGCAACGCCCGCGCGGACAACTCTCGCGGGCAATAAGGGAACACTTGTCGCTGTTAATTTGTTAAACGCCGTTCAACGCGCCGACGGGGCACCGCGATGCGGTCCATATTTGATTTCATAGATCCGTGTTCCAAATTTAAATAGGTTTGTTTTTAATTTTGGTTCGAAATAAAAACGTCGTGATTCGAATTTCATAAACATATAATTTTATTTTAATTCGAACATTGGCAATCGTAATAAAAAACGAAAGGCAAACCTAATGGAGACGAAAATTCTGGTCCACCTATACTCGTACGATCCATTAATTCGAGTTTAGGATAAAAACACGATACACTCATATCGGCAGTCCAGTGCCGGGGAATCGTTTTACGGGTGTGCCTCCGAGGGCACTTTCATATCTGAGACGGCACGGATATTCCTTTATTAATTAAGGGAACAGGACACGTGGGAACGGGACAGCGCGGTCTTTTGAATGCGGAGTCCAACCGTCGAGGACAATTTGTTGGACAAAAGAAATTATCGGACGGGGCCGCTTTCCCACATCTTTCGGCCACGTGTTTCTGCCACCATTGTCTAAGTCAATTGTTTGTTTGCTCTTTGTAGAAACCAAAGCGACAGATGCCGTGTTTATTACCTTTTACGACAGCCAATTATTGAGGTCCGGGTGGGATTAGTGATTATTGGTGAACGTGTTCCTTCACCGGACCTCCGTTCGTAAAACGGTACAGCGTAGTAGACATTTCAATGGAAACATCAGAGCCGAGCCCAAAACGAACTCAAGTCGAACACGAGAAAATACATAGTTATTCGGAACACAAACAGCGGGGGCAAATGGGAAAGATCGTGATTTCATATTTCACACTTCGCTAGTGTGGTAACGCGGCTCGGGCGTGTTTTTTCTCCTCCGTTTCAACTATATCCCAGGGGCGTGTTACGGCGCGATTCGGACCCAAATGCCTACGCGACAAGGTCCATTGTGCGTCGACGAGACCTCGCCGGCGAGACCGGTTCGCGCCACGGGCCGGGGAAGCGTCGTGTACCGTCCATCAAATTAAAAGATATGCGAAATGCACGATAATGAAGGACCCCGCTACGTCAAAGTGCTTCGGACACGGGCTCAATCCGAATTGTTAATGGTTTTAATTAGCCTTATCTCGTTCTACAAGGCTGAAACGCTGAAATGGTCTCAGAGATTATGCGTCACAAGGGTATGAGCATCCGAAACGTGAATCAGAATCTTAATAACTGTGATAGGACCTAGTACTAAACACGCTATTAAATATTATCTATAGTCCCGTCATACACCAATATAATTACAGTATAATTTAATATATATATAATTTTACAGTAGTAGGTCCTATCACAGTTATTAGGTCATGACAAAAAATTTTGTGCGTTACACCAACAAAATTAATGGTAGGAGACAATATCGGGTATTTCGTATAGCGAAATCAGCGCGTCTACACAACTTATATCAAAATATTGATTACCACACCCTTAACAGTAATAAGTAAAGTAACTGCCTACAGTTTTAATCCTTGCATCCATTCAGCACGCCATGTACATGAGAGGGGGGCAGATTAGGCTACGAAAATTCGGAAACCGACGTGTCATATGAATAAATTAGAAGCAAAGCGACGTAGCGTGTGAACGCGTGATTTTTACGTACGAATATTCGGTATGGAAAAAAAAATCCAGGTCGACGCTTTATTGGCGACAGTGCGCGGTTACGGTTAGAATGCTAAGCAGTTTCGTGGTAAACGCCGTGTAAGTGTGGCGGGTTCAAGTGTGCAGCGCGGCGGAGTTTAGTATGTCGACCGTCGCGGTGCGGGGCCGTGTTGCGCCGCGACCTTTACGATTGGGTCGGGTTATATCATGTTGTTATACGGGCACATCAGTTCTCAAAACTATTCGACCTATTACTTTCTAAATTGTCTGTACTGGGACGCCTTTTTTTTCCTCTCGTATTCCGAAAGAGGAGTGTCGAATATAATAACTACATATTTGATATTTAAAAGAATAAAAAGCATAATGCCATCGACTGCATTTCGTGATCGTTGTTTTTACACAAAAAAAAAAACATACAAAAATTTTATGGCAGACAAGAAATCTCAGACAAGGATTGTTCGTATATATTCATTGTACGTTTCACAACGAGTATTTCACAAAAGCCCCGAGTTTCACTCGCGAGCAATTAATATCCTCCAATTAAATTAAACTGTTGGAAAAAATTTCTCACGGCAATCATAAAACGTAAACGCTAACCACTAGCGGCTGCAGTGTTGCCATAATCGAAACACGGAATGGACAGAGGTCGCGGTCTGACAGACCGGAGCTCATTATAAAAGGATTAATTACCCGAACGCGGCAATACTGGGAAGCATTAAAAAGTTTAAATAGCTCGGTTCTAACTCATTCCAAATGTAACACAACGTTTGTGACAATTTTATGACACTCCAACTAGGCAGTTAGGCAACTGACTCTTAGAAACGAACATTCGATTTTTAATATTCCCACCGATTATCCCGGACGATAATGACGTAAAGGGGTGTTCAAAAATAAAGCCTGAAATATAAATCGGAGGCGGAATCCGACAGCCGAAATTTTCGCCCATAAAATAAAAAAAAATATGGCCAAGTGGACATCCCTAATTTCACATGGCATAGGTGGCATTCGCGACAGTCTGCGCACCGGCACCCGATCTCGCCGCGCCGTCGGAATTCGAAAAATGAAAATGCCGGCAATAAACAACGGAATGATTTGAATGAGGCATATGAATTAAAAAAAAAAAAAAAGATAAATAGAAACAAAAGTACAAAGCGGAGCTAACAAATTTCTCAAGACGGTCCGACCGACCTCGCCACGGTAGATCGTTCGATAACGCTCTGAGAAGGGTTAGACGATAGGGCTGTCTCGTCGCAACAAATCGTCCACTTCACGGGCAACATTATGTGGACATAGCTTTTCATTATAAACATTTCAACGTCCTTATTCTGAATTAAAGGGCGCGGGTCATAAGTTTTGCTACTTAACGCGTCCGGATGGTGGCAGCATGGCAACCCTGCGAAGCCTCGTAAGCGGAGACCTTGGTGCTCAGCTCATTCGGAATCGAGAATCCTTGTACAAGTTCGGACGTGATTTGTCCGAGATGCTAATCGAATACGGTTTTTACACTGATCTGCTTTGCATATTCGCCGCCGAGAGCGATGGGTGAGTCTTTATATAGTTAAGTTTGCATAATAACTTATCTTTATAAGGAGCTAATGGTGGATGAATTACGCAATCGGTATCAGGGTATTAGATTATAATTTAGTTATTTGCGTGTCGCTTCGGTCGTAGTTTACACCAAACTGGCAATAGCCTCGAATTGTTATAATCATAGTGTTTTTGAACATTATTATGGATCGAGCGATTCATAATAATGTTTAGAAAGTATGAAAATTGAAATTATATCAATTAAATATGGCATCGAAAGCTTACTTACACGATTATGCCGTCGACAACGCGAAAATATAAGCAATCGGAGTATTTCGGCGTTTCACAGCCTTCGGTCGGTCTTTGACTCGATTATTTCAACGTCGATAAATTCACCGAATTGCTTCTAGCGAGTACACAGCGTCCCATATAAAATATCGACGTATATTTATTCGCGTATGGCGGATTCTAGCGTGTAGCACTAACAATTCTTAGAAGCGGGCTGCGTGTGATGAATAAAGACGTGCAGAAAGAGGAATTTTCCCATTGCCGATATGAGGGCTGGAAGCCACGTAACCGACAGCGGCGCATCGAAATTCTTTGAAGGCAGTATCAATAAAACGTCGACAGACTCAGTGTTGTTTCATAGTAAATTCTTTATACGTAATAATAATACATATGCACCAATACATTCTAACCTAACCTAAATATAAGTTTTAATACCAATTTAGAAACGGCCGCGCAACAGCGTGTATAAAATGAAAAAGAATCAAACATTCAACAAAATGCGTTCAGATGTAAACTAATGATTACAAAATAAAATGCTCGGAATCTGGCCGAAAAAGGGGACCGATTTAATTTTTAAACGCTAGAAACGTAGCACGTTCGACCGTGTTCCTAATTTGAACTGTGATCCACGTCGCCCAACTATTTATATTTAATCAGTGCTTAGTGTGGAGATGGCGCGCAAAATGTATTTCCCCTGCTCCGCTATAATTATTCGGCGCCTTTGATCAGTTTATTATCGGCAGTTAAAGCAAAGAGTGGCAGTTAAAACGTCACAATGCGATCGTAAACGTGTGGCCGTTTGAAAAAGGACTGTTTTCTTAACGCCACCACTCGCAGCAACGGTGAGCTTAGTGTCTATTCATCGCCGTTGTCATATCGAGGATGGGCTTCTCTTTGAGTCCGCGCCATGACTAATCGTTATTTACGATCGGCGTTCCCGTTCCATATTCGAATTTGTTATTCCAACGGCCCGGGCGCACTCGAAATAATTGGGGACATTCTTCGCGGCATCGTCTAGGCGGGCTCTTCCGTCGGTTGAATAAACAACGCGAACAACGGTCGGGCCTCGCAGACTGTTGCGAAATGTCCAATGTTACGTGGAATTTCACTTGGGCCTTTTTGCCGTCGCCTTTAATTGCCGTCGCGTCGGGTGGGGGAGATGAAAGGCCGCGGCCGCGTCGCGCGGTACGGACACCGGAGTGCATTCCGCGGCCTCGTCGGATATTAAAAGAAGCGGATGTGGGGGTAGGGGGGGGGGCGGGGTGGTGGGTATTTTAAGAGGATCTTCGAGCGAGTGGCATCGGGATAAAGGAGGATTATTGAGAGCACTCGTCATGAAAGACAACGTAGACGGAAGTCACCGAGACTATGGACGCGTCAGATATCGCGTTACGGTGTGAACTGACAATATGGGACAGTTCGATGGTCCTTTCATAGCGCGATTGAGTTTTCGAGTTTGGAACGTTTTGCAACAGTCGAGGCCGATTGAGTTTCGTCAGATATGTGTACTCGTTGGCGTAAAAGAAAACCGTCGAAGCGGTTGCTTTCTATTGGAGACGCTCTGTGGCCGCAAGAAGGCGGTTCACACGCGACAACGGCTCTAGAACGCGCGTGCTTGCGCCGCCATTGTTCTAAGGCGGTGTCACGGCGAGATTGACGTCACTGGAAACGCTAATTTCCTCGAAACAGACGCTGAACGCGGAGCGTTTACTGTAAGCTTCCATCCCGTAAACGAATCCCAACACTACATATTGCGGCGTGATGCATAACGACAGCACCATAAAAGCAGCATACAAAACAGCTTCAAAAAGCACACCCCGCAGAAGACTAGATCTATGTAATATAATAATCTAGATGCGTGCATCGCGGAAAAAGTACTGGATAGACTTCAATTAAGTTTTCTTTTCGAGATACTTGACCTTTAACTAAAAAAAAAACTTTTTTAAACAGATTTGTCACAAAAGCCTTTATAAGCACTACGTATTTGGCGATTTGTTTTATCTTGCCGTGCTCCATTACCTTCGACTTAATTGTATTCATTACATGTATTTTTATTATATAGGTAACATGTATTACATATACATGTTGGTACAGTCCACCCTGTATATTTGCTTACGATCTTTATGATGTTTGAAGTTGCGGGTAAATATTAAACGTTTATCAATATAAAGGACATAAGAAGTTGGTCGTTAGTTCGCCGAACGAGACTACAAAACGGCCAAGCGTGTTAGCGGTCACTATTGCGACAGGGATGGTCGCTCGACTTTCGCGAATACGCGGCGATATTCGGACCGTGAAGCGCTGACGAAACATGCAAAATAGCTCACAATCTAAGGAATTAGTTACGCCTTTGCTCACACCGCTTACGGGGAGGGGTTTCCTCACCGAGATACGAGCATCACGAGCCTATTGGGCAAAAACGGCCAACCGTGGCCAGCAGTGCGCGATAGCAGCGTGCAAGCAAACACCGCGTGATAGTGCCGTGCAAACACCACATTTACACATAACCTTGGCGTTTGTCTAATTGAAACGTTCAACTGTTTCAATTAGTCATTAGGTAAATGGAAACAAGTTGAAACAATTCGCCGAGCCGCTAGATTATCTCGCTTACTTTAACACGCAAGGCATAAGCATAAATATATCGAACATTCGGCTATGAGTTACTTTGACCAAATTTCTGATTGACAATTAAAAGGTTCGTAAAAATTGCTTAGTTACGATTTAAAAATACCGTTGCAAAACTGCGGCACTAGCTAAAAAAAATGTTTGTCACAAAAAAACCTCTTTGCCGAGAACCGAACGCAGCACTCGGTCCCTATGAAATTTAAGACAATCAGCCGACCGCTGAGCCGTGACGTCTCTAATTTCTCATTTCATATAAGCAATCTACTCTAAGTAACATCAAGTGATCTCTAGATAGATAACTAACTTCACCATTGTAATACTAACGCGGGGTTCTTTGCTTAGAATGGTTAGAAGAAAAAAAAACTGATCGATAACGCCACGCTTAAAGTCAAATAGCAATGTCCTGAAAGTCGATGCTAATTTATACTTCTACGACCTGTTCGCTCTTTATCGTGGCGTATAAAAACCCGACGCGCGCTCGAGTTCCGTTTTTGCTCTAATGTAACTCGAAAACATTGTACTTATGTAGGTGGAACGACTTCATATTTACAATTGTCCACAATGTACACATTTAAAGTTATATATTTTATATTTTTCGATATATCAAGTCAATTTAGCAAATATTGATTGAAAGCGTAGCGCACGGAAGGTATTGCTGTAAAAAATGGGACGGTTAATGAATGCGAGACTGTCGCTTTGTTTGGTGAATTGTCATGTTTTTATACGCCCCGTTGTCCCGCACTTAAGCGGTGTGGGAAAGTGACTTGCGAAAACGCGCCAAGAGCGGCCGGCATCCCTAGCAATCGAGGCACCAGACTACAACCAACCAAAACTCTGTCCCGTACTTTTAAGTTTATACGAAATACTTTTACTTTACTTAAATAACTGCGTTTACACAATGTATTAGACGCCATCGATCCATTCGACATCTTCATCCGAATGTCCAGGTGAACGATTGGCCCCAGTTTGAAAATGTTGCCCCGCTGTCGGAATGCAAGTTTGCCCGGTGCGAGGCGCGCGCGGACGTGTACTTTGACATTATCGCTCCGTCCCTGTCTAGCGCGGGCGCCCGCTGGGCAGGTGTTGCCACCGTTTAAAAAGCGACAATGCGCGGTCGCATTTTTCGCATTAAAACAACGTAACGGTCCCGCGGAGGAATGCTGAATGGACTCGCGTTTGCGGGGTGACTTCCCGCATCGCCGTTTAGCAACCCCTTTGCAGCGTCAAGCTATATACGAATTTGAACCGCACGTCATGCCCGATTCTCGAACGCCTCGACAACCGGACGCCTCGACGGGCCCGAGATGCCAAACGTATTACAATATAAACAAGCGATTTACAAACGCAAATTGTTTGGGGGCGAAATGAATGAATGCTCGCCGCGCGGGCCGCCCGCCTGAATACAAATGAGATTCCCTTTTGAAGTGAGCAATCTCTCTCTAAAGACTCGTATGATGAATCGTTTCTATGCGTCGTTGGCCCCGCGCCGCCACATTTCTAATACCGTCGTACAACTTTGTCGGTAATATTAATATTCCTGGACTATCCAAGCATTATTAAGAATCGATAATATCGCAGGCAAAAGTTCCGCATTAACAGTTTCTCGTTCGTAATCCAAGCGGGGCCGTTTGCAATCCGAGAGCTTAAAGAAGAGTCGTGTTTCAAAATATTGTGACACTCGCCGCGGAGACGGCCAATGAATCCAGAATAGTAAAAAAAACCACTTATATAATAAAATAGCGAACAGTTTCGAATTTCGAAAATGGAACGCGCGTCTCTTCGGGCAGATCTCCGTTCACCTGTCGAGTCACGAACGCATCTCGTTCTTTCGCAGCGACGCATTACGCGGCGCTTATTTGTCTTAACTAAACGCTGCGCGCCGTGAGGCACGCCGCCTATGACCTATTACGAAAAAAGAATTAACGGCATAAGGGACGCTGCAGAACGCGACGCGTTCGTTAACTAAGGTCGACGTGTGTTTCGCTTCGTAGCGTGTTACTGCCAAAGGGCATTAGCGCGCAGACATTCGGGTATCGCTATCGGGCGGGATGACGCGCATACGGCGAGCTTGACGTGAAGCGCTTAGCCTGTCACGCCCGAAACTGAGACGGTTCTATATCGCGTTAGAGCGAAACGATCGCATGCGCCCCCCGACAACGAACATATATGAATTTAAACAGGAAGCATCAATTTAGCGCCAATTCATCTGTGATACTTTGGAAGCCGGACGGGAGCGCGCGCGTTTTTGTCGTAGTGAAAAACGAGCCGTCAAACGTAGGTCCGTCTCTACCTGACGGGTCATCTATGCACACCTCCAGATGTTGCGTTGCGCAAGCCGGGCCCCGAGTTGTTTGCCCAAATGTTACGAACCCCCACGACATTCGAAGCGGGCCGCTAAACGGAGCGCAAACAGCACTAGAAACGGAGCGTCCGATGTGCGCGAGCGGACCCGCTGCGGTCCGCTTGTGATGTCCGTTAGTAATCCTTGAGACGGGCGAGATGGTTTGAGATCGGTGAATAAGTCGAGATAATTTGAGATCGGCGAATAACAACGGCGTCGTATAATTACGATAGAGAATCACGATCTGGCGCGACCTCGCCGCAGTCGACGGCGAGGATGAGAATGCCTCCGCGATGAAGGTTAAGGTACGTTTGAACTAATGACTCTAAAGTAATTTATAGAAATAAAGTTACAGCGTACAGTTAATAGTCAACTACTTAATCCATATTCTATTCATTTCGATTCCACAAACGTGAGGTCAGTTGAAACGTAAGAAATTACCGTTACGAAACATAATGTCTTCATTATCTTCTTCGAATACGAAAGGATGCGGTAACTCGAAACATGCGCATGTAACGTAATTTTCTTCAACTGCAATTTGAGCGTAAGTATGCTTAACAATAAAGTATTTAGCTGATGCACGCAAAAAGCCGAGCGGAAACGCTTTTTATTTCGCAGTGCGTCCGGGATAATTAAAAAAAATCCACTACACTACGCGCACTCCCGGATTTCCGCCGTGTCAGGAAATATTGTACGATGGAGAGTCGCTATTAAATACCGTTCAGCATTAAAAGAAACTAAGATGGACTAACCGAAGCATTTGATCGAGGTTTTAGTGGCAGCTTATTCATATGAGTAACATAAATTTATATTGTTTGTGGCCGAGTTGATGTCGGAATGCGAGTGTTGGCAACAGTGTAGTTGATTTATGGTTTGCAACATTTGCTTCTTTTACGATGACCTTAATATGGCAACGGTTACAGAGATGTAAACATAAGACAGATAGTGAAGTTTACCGGATAAAGAGATTTTAACGACACTTACCGGCCATGTGAAATCGAAGGGGAACACGATGGGATTGCTGAACCCTTCCACATTAAGGTTGGGAACATCCAGGGAGTTGCCTCCTAGCACCGGCGTAGTGATGTCGCCGAACGTGCACGGCGAAGTGGTATCGATGTTTGCTTGATAGATCTTGAGGCACACGCGGAATTTAGTCCTGCACGGCGCTAGGCAAGGCGCGTCACTAGTCGAGGAACCATCACAGCACTGCCCACTACTTAGCCTACCCAACGAGTTCGTGAAACTTTTTATCCTCAGCTCGAACGAACCAGAAGACAGCACCTGGAAAAGAGGAAAACAGACTTTAGTCAATCGTTCTTTTAGACGCAAAAAGTTTTCAAGTATCTAATTCGACTAAATAGTCTTAAATAATACGCTTGATAACTAGCGTGTTATTTAAGACTATTTAGCTGGTACGGTTTCTGTTGACAGCATCGCCGAATATAATTATTGTGTGCATAACCGTCCGTTTGATCGATTCTGTTGATGCGTTAACGGTTTTCGTCTACGCATATATAACGCGCGCTCGAAATTGGGGTAGTAAACCGCGTGGGGTAATTCACGCGGCGCCCCCATTGTTGGTGTCGTTACCCACTACGAGCTAGCTCGTCATTTTGGGGTGACATAATGCTAATAAAAGCATCCAGGGCTTAATCGTACGCTCTAAAGTTGTACACCCGTACCTATACATTGCGCTGATGCAGATCATTTTCTTGATCAGCTCGTCAACGGAGGATTTAAGCACTCTCGTGTTTTTTAACATTCTCAAAAAGTCTGTGCGGCCCCCAGCGTTGTTTTAAACGATCTTTACGTCTTAAGACAGTCAGAATAGCGCGTTAACGTTGAGAGATAAGTAGATGACAACACAGTGGCTGGGTGGCGCGGTTTTTTCTGTAATACACGAATAATAATAGCTTCGCCGCCCTTTAGGGTAGTGCAACCCTTTTATTAATACGGAACGCTGTTGCGTTGCATGTGGGATTGAGAGGTTCGGTTGAGTTTAATAACAATTGAGCGGCCCGCACGGGCCCGGGAGAGTTGTAAGGCATCGGAAGGAAGCGGTAGGCATCATGGTGCCGTCTCGGCGGGTCATTACCGACCCCACTACAAGTGCAGACGAAAACAGTGATGGAAAAAATATATCGTTTCCTGCTCAGTTTCTAGCAGACGAAAATGTTTATTTGAGTTGCGGCTGTGATAGCCAACATTCGCGAAATCGTAATCGCGAGCGGATGGAATTTTTTAATAACCGCAAACAAAAGAAACTGAGCGTACAATGATCCATTCAGAGGGTCTTAACTAGTAAACAGACAGACGGTAGGCCCGTGCATACGTGTTGCCGCTTAAACAGACCGCCCTGAGAAAGACACCAGATTCCGGGGCGACTTCCTGCCGAGCGGCAGGGGGTTCAGATCCGTCGATCCCATCCCAGAGCGCGAAACATCCCTCCCTTTCACATGACGAGGCGCAGAGCGGGACGCGGCGCGGTTTTCACACATCCACGTGGTGCGTCAGGTAGGAGCGGGAACCAAAAAAATCGCCTCCGAAAAACACGGCCACTCTAAACATCCCCTTTTTTTCTGACCAAAGCTGATGGATTGTTTCCATAGTGGCAACGAACGCTGATGAATAGACGCCTATCCTATTTAATTAAACGTTTCTAGAAAGAGAGCTATTTAATCGTGAGCATCACTCAAATAGCTATATATCAAGACTTTGGAAAACAAACAAAGCGGTGCCCGTATGTGCGGTAACAACTCGCCTCGGGCCGGCCACAAATTAACAATTAAATAATACTTACCGACTACCGAATAAGATTTATATTATGGTGTCTTCGGGCGATTTAACGCGATGACTGTCTGATTGACGTTTAAGTATCTTTTTTAAAACGGGGCCGAACTTTGTTTATGGCATTACGTCTGTTGCCTGTAATTATAGTTAAATTTTCAGTTTTCGTGGCGCCAAAATATGCAATTAAAGCATATTGCGCAATGAGGTGAAGGCGTCTTTTATTTTGAATGCACCATCACATGCAGCGTCACGAAAAAAAATCTATAATCAAAATTGTTAAACAGCACTGGCACGATTGATCGCCATTTGATAAAATCGAAATTCAATTTTCGAACGTCCATTCGCTGAACGCGTTTCCCTATTATTGATTATTGTGACTTATTTACCCGACGCGGTGTTGTGTCCGTCGAGTAATGAATTAAAGTGAACGCTCGTACCTAATTTATTAAGCATGCCGTCCGGGCGTTTAATGCATTCGACGTCGAGTCGTGAACATCGATATTTTTTTTTACGTCCGAGTGGAAAGCAACATAGGTATGTGGCATTAATCGACTCACTTGGGTGTTGCCAACGCGGAAACAGCTTCACTAAAAACTGGCTATCGGTTTGATTCGATTCACCGCGGAGAATAGATATAGCGTGCTGCAACATTTACTATTGCGTGGAATTTGTGATCTTCCATCAAATTCTAGAATGTTTCTATCTACATTGCCTTAAGAGGTTACAGTTAATTTATTGTATATATATTTCTGAAGGGGCCAATCTATTTAGCACCTTAATCAGACATCGTATAAACATTGATAAATTTCGGATGTATATTATACTGAACACGTAAAAGATAATATTAGTACGAACTCGAGATGGTCAATTGATTTCGAGTACCTAATCGACGGTCCCGTAATACCATCACTTGACGTATCGCTTTACATCAATTCCTATGGTAATAATTGCCGCGCGATATGCCTTCCCGCGTGCGATATGTAAAACGAAATTGCCGTGTCAAAATGATTTATCCGAAGGCACGCCATATGTTATTGCCCTCGTTGCAAGAGATTATTCGGCTTAAATCTTCGTCTGGATGGGCGAAGGTCGAATGTGATGCAGCCATCAACTATGGTAACATGTAAGTAGCCTATTGCCACAATGTTGTTGATACACACTGATGGGGAATATAAAGATCACTGCGCAAGTGAACTGTCGGTGCAAACAGCGGAGTCAGGTTAAGCGGAGTCTAAAAATAGCAGAAATAATGAAACGCGGGGGGAATGTTTTTCATCTCGCGTGTTATACACACGCGAAATGTGTTAAAATAAACACTCGAACGCACCGGCCTTATAATAGACACGGCATAATCCGCGACTCGGCGTTTAAATTTGGAATTGCGCCTCGATATGGTCCTTTTTCGCGGTTTTTTTTTCCCGCCACCCCGCCATTCACGCACGTGTCGCTAAATCGCGCGGCCTATATATAGTCGGCGCTTCGGCATATGCATATCTGTGGGTTTCAGTTAAAAGCATGACCCGTAAACGCTTAGTGTCGCTTCGGCTCGCACAAATAGCGAATGTTGCGTTGGATTCGTCACAATGGGGGTCCCGTTTCAAAGAAATCGCCAGAATAATGGTACATGCGTCTTTGTAGCACCCCAGACGTTAGAAGAGCGCGACTTTTGACGCGTACTCTTTGTTCGACTCCGTCCGCAGCTGCTACAGTGTAAGCGGGATGAGAGGTATCCCTGGAAATCGGAATTAACCGTGTTTCGGTCCTAATAGGTCGTGACTATGATTGGTGCGTTTTTGTGGTCGTTTGAGTGTCACAAAGCCACTGATATCGCGCAACGGATATCGAATAGATAGCGTTTCAGCATGCGACCAATGAAAGTGACATAATAAAAGTCCATTCCTGTCCAACTAATGAGCATGGTACATATAACACTCCGGTAATATCGAAATTCGCTCGCATAATACGCGTCGATCGCAACCGGTCGCTTTCGCAAATTGATCATTAGCAACGAGTGCGTTTGGTAAAATTACGATCGCACGGCGCGCGGTTCAATTACTTTCAGTTGACTAAACAACTCCCACGCCCGAATCACACTGCGTTGCGAAGGATCCACGCATTAGACTGGCGGCCTTAACTTTCGACCCACGTGCAGAAGCCCTGGCCAACTCATCTTTACACTGCGCCTGTGGAGTATTGTGTAACCCACGCCGCTGCCGACACATTTACCCGATTTGGACTCAACAGTTCGCGTACTGGCAACACCGATCACAATCAGTCTTACGAGAGAACGGTCCGAGTTTAGGAGTTTTTCTTTGGGCGATAATTAGAGGGTTGTTCTCGACAATTAGCGATGTCGACTCGTCTCACGAGAAAGCGATTGTGTTTATAAATAATGCATATTCGACTCCGCGATCCAGTTTGGCGGCATTGCGTAATCCGGAGACACGCGGTCGTGTTTTTGTTTTTCGCGCACTGATACCGGGAATCAACTAATTGCTCGGATTCGATGGGGCGATGACTGGTGCGAAAGGGAGCAGTGTGATATCGAGGCAAATGTAATCGGGCTGTGGATTGTCGATTACCCGATTTTTTTCGAAGTGATATTGTCAACTGTCAATTACGGTGGTTTTTCATCGCTTCCAAATTTGAACTTTCGAACGTGGCATTCGATATAAGAATTTTTGAGTTTCGAACGTCCATAACGGCGAATGTGGAGAGACGTTTATTTCAGACGCTGTTACTTTATGGCGTCTCGATTCACAAGCGGGCCATTACGCTCGCACAATGAGCCGAAACCAGGATTTCACATAGTTAGGCGTTTAAAAATCCGACGATTATACGGATTTCGTATGCGGTTCACATAATTGAGACGGTTCTCATACGGCGAAATGCGGAGACAATGGACGAAATTGTAACAGGCTCGGACCGTTTCACATACTTAGGCGGGCGGTTGCGACGGGAGCGACACGCGACGATTAATTATTGTTCGCGCCGTTGCGAAAACGACCGAAAACGAGACGTGCGACGTCGCGGTTGACGCTAAACGCTGAGAAAATGTCACAACCGGCAATTACTGTCACACTAATAGCGCTCGACGAACTGTACACAATACGGAACGTGTTCACGGTTCCGACTGTGCTGAAATTATGGAATTGGGGGATTATTAAAGCCCCTACTCGTACGAGGAAGGCTGCGACACGATAGAACATATCGGGGCAACGGCGGCGAGTCGACGGCGGTTTCAGTCGTAAAAGCGCCGATACACGAATCCCACGAAATCGAACGGCGAACGGAATATGAGCTATTACGAAAGAGCAGCTGTTTGGTGCTTCGATACCGCCGACGAGGCTACACCTGCCCGCGCGAGACCCATGCAGCCAGCCCGAATGCTAATCGGGGCAATCGTTCGACTGTTCAACTTAACCTTCCGAGACTCGTCCGAGTGCAATCACCACTAGACGGCCATCGATTGTATAAAAAACGCGCAAGACATACGCGAAGGCGGCGCCAGAGGAACAATCTCATATAAAATACAGCAATGTCGCCCGAGCGGTAAAAATACTAGGCTACCATAAGCGACATAGGTGCGGCTGTGAACGCGGCCGCTACTCGGGGTTTTATTACGAGCAAATTGGGGGTCCGTCCGTCTGCGGTTATTGAGACGTGCTCCCTGCTATACCAGAGGTTGCGGTATAGAATGCGAATTCGCGATTGCCTACGCCTCCGGGGATAAGGACCAGTCGATGGTCGAGCTTCCAGTTTTTACCCCTGCGCTCTTTAACGACGCGCCTTCATTCATAATGTATTATGGCACCTCCGCGCTGCGCACACACGCACAAAATCCATAAGGCATACGTTTACTGGTAAAGACCTAATAGGAACGGCGTTGCTTTAAACTTCGCACGAGTACAGGTCGATTAGAGGGATTACATTTACATTTTTGTTGAACAAAAATTAAATTTTATTATTATTTCATATTGAGGAGATGAAGTGAATGGAACGGATTGGCTCACTTGACACGGAACCCAATTGCCGTGGACTAACATCGGCCGCGTAAACAATGTCCCACGGACGCAGGCCCGTTGGCGGCGGACCGACATCCTCGCCGAAGTCCGTAGCTGGATAAAAACCGGGCTAAACGTCCGGATAAAAATCGGCGATACAATGAAAAGTGCACTGAAATCACACGGCTAGCGCGACCGGTTGCCGACCCGCGACCGGCTGCGGTTAATAACGTGCGAGTAACAAAGTGTAATTGCGTTTAATAATAACGGTAAGCTAGTTCGTAATGAACATGACATAGCGCGTCGTAAAGTGCAGACCCAGCAAATTACCGATGGGACAACATTCGTTGAACGTTGCAGGAGAAGAGTGCACACGGTAGGGACCATTTTATAAGTCGTTTTGGCGGTTTCGACAGTTAGCCTATCCAGTGATGAATATTAGAAATTTCCTAGTTCGAGAATCTTTTGGGAAAGTATCGAGCGGTAAATACATGTAGAAATGATTCACTTGCTAACGCTTCGCAGTCGCGATGAGACTGTAATATAAATAAACAAATAGCCTTTCCGTATATTAGTGGAATTAGCCGTGTTGGGTTTGGCTTAACTCGAAAATTATATTAAGACGTTGAAAGTTTATTATCGTTTTTAATTAATACTCTTTGACGTTTTTATAGTAATCTATATCTTAGTAATGTTTTTTAGTCTACGCGTTCGCGAAAATAAATAAAGTTCTGTCGTGAGACCAAAAACTCTAAATCAATTGGAAATTAAGAGAAAAGCAACCCTCCTTGTAGACAACCTTGACCGCGTCGTGGGGCGATGACCCCCGATTATCAAATAGGTATTCTATAATCTGCCACCACGGCGCATTATCATAAATTTGTATTCAGATTAAATCGATTATAAATTGAACTTTCCAAAGCTGAGCGTAGTGAAATTGATATAAGTTTTAAATGATATCTCAAAATTTAAATACCAACGTTTCGACTAATCTTTGAGCTTTTATAATCGACGTAAGCAACAATGCAAACTAGATCGAACTACTAACCCTGCCCGAAATATCGCGCGTCGGGATGGACTCGACTCGTCCGAGTTATTCCCGTCGTTGTGTGCGGATTACTCTTTTTGGGCACCGACTTCATCGCGAAGCCTCGGAATGCGTCTAATTTTAAACGGAGAGCCTCGCGACCCATCTGACCCCGCGCGGCGGCCGTGTTAATACCTGAACTTTCTTTGGAACTATGCAATTGGCCGTGTTCGCTCGGCGGACGAATGGGGCGCACAGCGGCGGGGCCCGGTCACGACTCGCGGCACCAACCCGGACCCTCGCCTCCCGACTATCCAGGACGATCTAGGAGCCGGCGCACTCGTGGGAAAGTGACGGTCGTGCAGACGGAATGGCCTCGAGCCGCGCGGCGCGCTCGCTCGCGGCCCGAGAGGGGCCCATTACAATGCGAAACGTAAACAAACGGGGCGTTCGCGGTTTTCGGTGTCGGTGTCAGTACCTGGGGCAGAAACCCTAGCAGGGCGACGAGCACCGCGGGGGCGCGCATGGTGGCGCGTCCGGGCCAGCGGCGCCGGAGCATACACGTCGGGACCAAAGCCCGTCAGCGGACGACGGCGAGAGATCCTCAGTAATCCATCACACGCACATGTCGATGCACTGAGCGTTTCACCGCAAGTCACACAGCACAAATATCGAGATGTCACTGGTCGCGCGCATCGGCCGCGGGAACCGGTCGCGAGTAGTATGGTATCGTATCGTGCACTACGTTCGAAACGCGCGCGTCGCGTGCGGCCCGCGTTCGGCAGCCGTGATGACGTGTGATCGCGGCGGTGCGTGACGGCGAACTGAGGGCGGGTGGCGGCCCCGGCGCGGCCGGCGCACCTGGCGGCCGCGCGGAGGCCGAGAGATGGCGCTGCGCGGCGCATCTGTCGGCCCCCGCCGCGCCCCGCCCCGCCGCCCGCCGCTCCACTCCGGCCAAGCAGAAAATACACGGAAAACAGCCGTCCCGTCTTCTGGCTGAATGTCGCGAACACGTGCCCGCAGCATAATGCCCATGTAAAAACATCGAAGAAGATTCGAGCGTTATGCGGTTTCTTATCGTGTTTGCTATGCCGCTAGCGTATTGTTGTATAGCGAGCGTCCACCTTCTGTTATAGATATACTTTTTATGTAACTTATGGTGTCGAATATAATTAAAAGAACAACGAATTGAAATGCACAAAACATAATCGCATTGGCATTGAAATGCAGCTTCTTTCTTTACTCCCAAGTTTTATTTGCAGTCTCATAAGATTAAAGTATCGTGTTCAAGTAAGGATAAAGGAAGCTTTGGGCACGTATTTCGAGAATCGCGTGATAAGGGTCCATTCACATATGCAAATTTAAATCTTCACAATTATTGGCGGCAGCTGCTCGCATTTCGATAAGCGTTGGCAAGTGATAAACATATTCATGAACTTGCTTCCGGAGCGCCCTGAGCTGTGGATGTTCTCGAATTATTTTAATAACACACCCTTGGGTAAAATAAACTGAGGAAGCTAATAAAATATTTATTGGAGTCATTTTGGTACTGTAATACTCTTGAAATGAAATAAATTCCCTAACCGGATAATTCACTCGGTTGTAAGTTTACACATACTACTTACTCCCTTTGTCATTAATTTTTCGAAGTTAATACTCTTTTGGGTATTAAATAGGAGTAGAAAGAAAATAAAAAGTAAATATAGTCTACCTCCAAGAAGATTATCAATTTGAAATTATTATTATTTCTCATTATAATAATGCGTAGGTAATATAAAATTTACGTAGGTAATAACTCTGTGAAAGAATAATTTATGAGATTCATTTAATTTAAATATTAAGTAAGCGTTTTGCTTACCTGTTATAAATTGTTACGAGATTGTTTTGTGCAATTGTAACAGTTACTTTGAACGCTTAAGAAAAAACAGGAATTGGAAATTTCTTAGGAATAATTGAGATTGAGTGACGTGCCACGGCAGTGAATGCGTCTCTCGGCCTATAATATATGGACAGCGCGTGACACCGCGCCGTTTTTTTTTCTCTTTTTACCATAAAAAAAGACAAGCGTCGATATTAAGAGGTGGTTCACAGCATAAACCAAATTAGCATGTGCTCTGTGGCTCGTGAGCGCGTTGACGTCTGTTTTTTTGGGATTTATCATCTAGTCGTATAGCAAAAAATGTAGACATGTCTTGCTGATGAAATTACCGCCGTCGTCGGTTCAGTATCGGGAGGGCGATTTTTTTTTCCGTGTCACCGGGTCACCTACCTAACTAGCTAGCCTAGTTTTATTGGTCGTTGTGGCCACGCCTGTCATACTGTACGAAGTCTACTGTTTGTGTCCATTTCTCTTTCCCTACATAGGATATTACGTTACATTGCCCGTTATAACATGAAAGGATGCTACAATAAAACCCTTCACTTGCCGGTTCTTTTATTAGTTCTTGTATGTTACAATACAAAATGGTGACAAAATAATGAAGATATGTACGTAAAATTTTGTTAATTGTTGTAAATTTGTTTACGGGTCTCAAATAAGTTTTTCGAAGAAATTTGAACTCTATAAAAAATCGATTTTGTTTTTAATGTACCTATAACACTAACATCGCGAGAATTTAAAATTATTCATCTCATTGACACGTGCTATAAAACAGGACTGTAGACTTTTTTATCGAATTAGTTTTTCGGATTGAACAAATTAATGTAACTTTTTTTTTAATATATTACGTATGCAAACTATTTTAAAATATCTTTGGCATTCCAAGAAATGTAATAATAAGTTATCGATGTTTAACTTGACGGAAGATTTTTGTCTATGCGGTGAATATATTTTAATTAACTTCTTTATTAGGTACTTTCACCGATTACAGAAGTCCCTTGATTCTAATATGATATTACTTTATTGTAGTCTAAACAAACTGTAAAGCATTAGTAACTTTTACTTTGAATACCTAAGTTGTTTTTAATTAATGTTATTAAACTAAATATAGCCAATCATTTTACATTCATATATTCGTTTTTTAGATTCGAATTCGCAAATGTCTTTGATCGCGTCTTAATAGTCTTATCGAATAGTTGTATTTGCATAAAGTCGAAGACTTTAGTAGTTTAGTAAAAAACAATTACAGTGTATTTATTAAATTCATTAGAAGCTTTTAAGTTTGAGTTTTCGTTCATTTTAAGAATTGACAGTCTCATGCTTTGTTTGGCGACGCAGTGAATTGTATTATAATATTGTATTGCTAATCGACTTTGCTTCGGTTATCTAATGACTTATATGTAACTCGCTAATCTTTCTAACCGGTCACGAAATACGTTTAAATTATGCAAATTAAACAATCCTTTAGAATACAGTTTAGGTGTATATAAATCGGCGTGTCTGTCAATTAGGAAAAATATTCAGAGAAATGTTGATAATACTGTAAGTAGGATGCCTTTTTGAATGCATATGAATGTCACGTATTACGAACTAAATGGAAAATTTTAATTATTATTTCTGTCTGAGACGAATCTAATGAAAGGTCATATGTAGGAATCCGTCAAGATGTTTAGGCTACAGAGTCTGCTAAAGAATTAACATACATAATTACATTATCAATATACTCGAGCAAACTTTGCCAAACAGTAGGGCATTTGGGGCTGTTTCTTTACATTAATTTTACTTTTACATACATTTTAAAGACATCCATACGCATCGGAAAACATTATCTTCTTCGACAGTCGGTTAGGTGCCGTCACCAGGTGGATAGGGTAGAGTGATATAAAGCTAGTTTCTTTGCGATCTTGCGTTTAACATCTGGCGCCGTTGCAGTCGAGCGCAAATCGGTTTATGGAAACAATAGCGGCAAATGAAAATGAACAATACGGAAAAATGTACCGTCAAAAACCGAAACAGATGTCGAGTTCTTTTCATTTTTAAAACAATGAAATGGAAAGACCAAACTTTATTGTCGATTTGCTTAGTTTTTTTAGCGTCAATGTAAGAACGATATTTTAACAGATATATCAAATGCGAATCTATTTGTTTATATAGAGAGTAATTTTCGCATGCAACGATTAATATCCAGATGCACATAGAACTACGTATGTATGTTCAGAGTCACTAAATGTGCTGAAAGAATTCACTGTAAAATCTAATGGTATCTGGGCCGAGCTCTAGTTTTAGTCTTCTTAATCGAATTTGCTTCATACATCCTATTTCTTATTTGAATCTGTAACCGCGCGTGCAGTAAAATCTTTTTAGAACCTGTGCAATTGAGGTTTACTTGTTTATTTATTTCATTTTATAAAACGAAATAAATAAACAAGTAAACGGATCCGATAGTCGATCTGACAAACGTACACACAAATTCGACAACAATTTATAAATAAAAAAAATATAAACAATCGTCGATAATCTAGATATATAATCTTATTGAATCCACTTAACTAACTAGGTGTATGTAACACCAAAAACTTCATGGAAATCGGTCCAGCCGTAGTAGTAGGAGTAGTTCAGTTACATTCACACGCACAGAAGAATTATTTATATATAAAGATTTTCAGTGGGTTTTATACCGAGAAGGAGTTGTGTATAACCCCATGGAGCGTTTAAAATCTCTACAACAGTGCAGTCTTTTTGTATAGCGTAAGAATTCGTAGAATTAACAATTAATTGAGTTTCTATGAATTGGCGTTATTAAAAAAATCGACTGAAACGGTCCAAGGTTCAACGCCTTACACCGATCAAGATGCGGCACGCAACTGAAAGTATATTTTCGATAATAATTAGCATTTTCTAGGTGTACACGTTTCTCGTGAGCTTTCCAGATTAATCGTCGAGTTTTCAATCGATCGTAGAGTTCTTCGACCTTATTACTCACCTTACGTAGCTTGGCCTATACCAAGGCTATGGGAAATATTAAAACCTTAAATTAATGTATACGAACCCTGTTTACTTTACAACTTTAACTATACACGTATCCAGAAAATATTATAATTGACAATTAAAAGGTGAACCATAGACATTAAATCTAATATATAAAATTCTCGTGTCACGGTGTTTGTAATTGAACTACTCCGAAACGGCTCGACCGATTTTCGTGAAATTTTGTGTGCATATCGGCCAGGGCGGAGAATCGGACAAGATCTATATATAGATTTTTAATCCCCCTAAATGTTAAGGGTGGTCCACCCTAAACAGTTTTTTGTACCCGACAAATTCCCTATAAATAATTTATATGGCAGAACAACGTTTTCCGGGACAGCCAGTTAACTAGAAAATAATTTTGACTGTGATAGGGACACGTAATGGTCTTTTGAACAAATGGGCAGGTCCCTCCGGGAAAGTACCACGACTTCACGGACGACCAGTGTCATGTGGACGTGTCATACTTCTGCGCGTCGTCTGGTGAGTGACGTAATAAAAGATTCTTTTAAACGTGAAGAATATTATTCTAATAAGAATTCATTATCCAAGTAGATTCATCGCTTCTTATTAGTTCACCGGTTTCGTTCGCAACACTGGCCTTTCAGGAACGTCAGTTGCATATCGCTGGCGGAATGAATTTCTCTCGGCCTCGAGTATGTCGGTTAAGGATATGATTTTCGGCAAACGCATTGTACTGTTGTAATTATATCGATAAAGTTCACTTTAAAATCGAAATCGTTCTTCGAGATTACGCCGCTATTATAATTTCCTACCTGTTTCGCTCGTTGCCGCTGCATTTTTGGTTGTTTAAAACGGCGCACACTTCAATGCGTGCGCTAAGTGGATTTTTTTTTGGATCATATCGATTTTGGTACATTGTGAATGTTGATTTGGTACAAACATTTCATTGACACCCAACTTGTTTCGTGAATGGATCAAGGACCACGAAATACAGACTGGGATGAAAGATTTCTCAATCTCATAAAGATGATTTTTCTTTCAGCTTTACGGGATGGACGTTTTATAGAGAAATCGGAATTGATTTTTGCGGATATAGTGTTACATTTACCAATCATTTATAAATATTTTTGAATGTTGCTTAGCTAATCCTACGTTTCAATGCAGGATTGAGCACA